ACATTGTTATACAGTTGACAAAGTATGACAAAGTATCGTAGTTCCCATTCATGTCGTGCAAAATAAATACCATTTCAAATAAAAATGTATATATTCTGTTTTAGCCCTAGGTGGGCATGAGCCAATCTAAAATCCCAACCCCCTTTGATGTCGTCGTACATGAACTCAAAAAAAACATACTCCTAAGGCATGATGTCATTGTTTGCATTAAAAATTTGAATAAATAAATATTTTCTGAAGTAACTCGTTAAAGTCATTTTGTCCATGAATAATCACCTAATCGTTTACTATAGGAGCCAGTATCGAGTTGGGCAAGCGGAAAAGATAGACTTGCACATTAATCCACAGCAATCAGAATTGCCGATTCATCTCACTTAGCATTTTTTCAAAATAATTGTTGGATTTATTCGTCATTGGCAATCGCATTGCAGACAATCAAGGCGTCAAATTTTTGATCCTCAATACTCAAGCGATAGCAAAAAAGCACACTTGGTTCGTCTCGTCCTGCTTCTCTATCAGCAAATTACTGGAAATCCTGACATTACCTGTTTTTCTGTTCAACTTAGTTATTCTACGTAAATTCAAGCCGCCGATTTGTACCGTCGAAACGACCAATTATGAAAACGATTTATAATACTATAAAAGTTGACAATTTGGCTTTGTATATTGACGTAATACGACGCTTACTCGTGCCTTTGCTCTGAACAAGGCTGGATAAAAGCAGCCACTGATATTCAACGATATCTTTACAGACGTACTTCGCTGCCGAATTTATTTTTCCAAGCTATATATGCCCGCATTTTCATTTATCTCGGTTGTTTCATTTGAAGAAAAGATCATTGATGGTAATCCAGGAAACGTCGGGTTATCATTATTTCATTCGAATATAGAGCAAATTGGTGTTGAAAAGACGTAGGGACGTAATCATCGATTTTATTCAAGTTTGATCATTTACTAGCATGGATTGGTTCAGGCTAATCGACTTTTTATTCTATTCCCTAATCTTACAAGTATTGTATTTCATAATTGATTTTCCAACTCAGTCCGTGAGAGAACGACACAGGCCATATTACCACACACAGTTAAACACTTCGAGCTGTCAATACCAGATTAAAAAAGCTCGCAAACTTTCTTATTTAGTCTGTCTAACATTTACGGGTGATTACCGACTATAGCTAACTGCACCAATGACCTCTTTACAAGTCCAACTATGCGTATAGTATCACCACCCGGCTGATAAAAGAATTTCAGTTTTGAAAGCAGAAATGTTTGACAGCTGACCAATCATTATTCTTAGTCGCGGGGCACCATATTCTATTCCCCGTTTTAATTTTCACTCGAAAAACTTTGAAATAAAAATTTTATATACATGTAAGGACCATTAACATGTCTTGAAATTCTAATGTTTAAGTTTTTACTGTTCAAAACAAACATAATTAGAATACGATTCAACCCAGCTAGGTCAAAATATATGTATGAAGTCGTCTTTATACTTCGAGGTCAGAGATGGCACGAAACCATTTTTTTAAAACACATACAATTACTTAATTAATGAAATCACACTAGCTCACTTCAGTTTACTTAGCCAATTGGCTGAAGATGATCAAAATCAATGAAATTCATCTATTGCATTTCTACAATTGTTAACTAGGATAGTGCCCAAACGAAAATCTATAACAGCAGTTAGGATAGGATAGGATTTACATATTTATCCCAGGGGAGAAGAAAGCCGATAAGACGACTTAATCATATGGCGAACCACGGCCTCTCGTTCGGTTACCAGTCCAGGTCGGGTAGGGGATTAGTTAGTCAGTTATTTGTTTTCGGAAGCATGGACTTGATGGTGGAGGAAGCTGTAACCATCCAGCAGTTACGTGAACTTACGTGTACGTAAGATATATCGATGAAGAAAACTAAAGGACAGATCTTGATCAGGGAGCATATAAATGCCATGATATTATAGGGCCATGGGTGGCCAATCTGCTCTCGACCGAGATTGACTATAATCCTCAAGATAGCTCGCGATCGACTGATCGGTAATAAGGTCATGCCCAAAAACGAATTGGGTACTAAATATGCAGATAACTGTACACAATCAGACATAAAATTCCACCGCTGCCAATAAGCACGGCTCTGTGGGCGCATTTTAAATAGAATCGCCACAAACACTGTTTTTTATGTTCCATTTAAGTTATTAATTTGATTATTTAATTGTAAATGGAGTCAAATCATTCAGATATAGGTCCTTCCCTAATTTTTTTTCGTAAGTGTTAAAAATTCCTCAAGAAACCAAATATTTATGTATTATCTGAACAGCTAAAAATAAATATTCTCGAACCATATGTTACATGACTGCTTTGCATACTGCAGAAGTTATTGTAGGATCGTTTGTGCAGTCAAGAAACGCGATATTCGGCACTTCATTTCTAAACCTTGGCAGCGGCAAAACTTAAATTTGTTACGTAATAATATGCTCTATCGGGCTTGCCCAGACTCGAATACGGTATGTGTATATCGTATTTTGGCATGTACAGTACTGTATTCTTCCTGTTTTAAAACACACAACCGGTTTAAGGCAATTTTTTTGTTATGTTATTAAATTCACTCAACATCAGGCGCGATCGACTGCTCGAGATGCGGCGACCGATCGGACGATTGCGATTGACGTGTTGGCCACCCTTGATATACATTATGTCAAATATTCGAAAAATTATTTTCGGAACTGAATACAGTGATATCGTTTACGTGAAATGCTTTTCTATTTGAAAATGTTGTTTTGAAATGTCTGGTCATGCATAAAGTTTTTCAGTACAGGGGAACGAAATATTTCAGTAATGACATCCGGCGGATTTCATTTCGAGATAAATTTCAGTTTGTCTAAACATTTGAACCATGGAACTCGGGTATTATCTAGCCCCTAGCGACTCGGATATCTAGAAATAATGATTTCAATTGCATTTTATTGAATGCTAATCGAATTATTATGTAGTTTTCTATAAAATACATTGGTTATGAAGTCGTTTTCAAAACAAAATTTGAAATACACTACCTAAGTTTGGAAAGTTCTGGATGCAATTTTTTCATCGTTTCTTTCAGCAAGAGAGAATTAGTAATAAATTTCAAAATCAAAAAATTGGCTGAGTGTTAGTGAGTTTGTGGTTACAATGCAACGAAATCATTAATATTCCGACATATCTTCACGTAATCCGATATATGTTAAACAGTATTTGTCATTTTTAATAGTATGCGCACTTTATCCAAAAATGTTCCCTTAAAAAATCCACTTTGCTTATAGGAAAAACTCGAGCTTTAACTAGGGTTACTAGGCTGATATTTCACGCCGCTAACAACACTGGCCCGGAATCCAATATAGGATTCCCGAAATTGCGCAAACTCATTCCAATCGTTAGCAGAAATTGACTATTTTTATCGTGTTTGTGTTAATTATTAACAAAATCTGCCAGTAACTAACTAACTTCTGAATGTCACTTAAACTCTTATTTCGATCGAGCGAATTTAAATAAAGTCAATAAAATTCCAGATCAAACACCCCGGCTGCTAATAATATACTCGCAATGCCCTTCTGTGAAACAGCTTCATCCTTTCTTTGTTTCTCAAGACTATTGCACGAAAAAGAGAAGCAATAAGCTATCTGATATCTAACTTGGGCATCAATTTTCTTGTTCAAACAATATAATCACGTTTAATGGCATCCCTAGCGCAAACGGGGTTGGTAAGGTGACACCACTGATTGTGGCTAACGTCTGAATGATGCCAACAATTTGGGGTAAAGCAGGACAGACATAATAAACTTGATATTGGGGTAATGATAGTTGTAAAGGAATGCGGATACGCTTGATTGCGCAATGAGGGGGTGTAAATAATATATTTGCTGCCTAATTTATACAAAACTTAGAGAATGCTTAGAATATAGGATTACTCATGCTGTTGTGAATTTTAAACGAACTGAAGCATGCGAATATCTTTTTCTGATATATATTTACTTGTACTAGGTCATACATGAATACCTCTAAATTTGTATGTCGCTGGCGATAAAGAATTTTCAATTTTAAAGTCTGTACTATTATTGTCATCTTTCTAAGTCCAATTATTCATGTATTAATGCTATTCAAGAAAAATGCGTTAAGGTTTGGGTGGATTCAGTTACTGCCCTAGATCCACGTATTTTAATACCGTGACTTTGGTGATTAGGCTCTCATATTAATGTCTCATTGTGATAGGATTTGCATACACCAAACATGTGTCGTTGATTGTATCGTTCTTTTCATGTTTCTCGGCTATTCAATCGACGCTATACCAGAACCGCCCAGAGAGATTTTCTTGTTATGTAAGTACTCGCCATATCTGAAATTGAGTTGACTCTAAAGTCTGAATCGTTTCGTAATCATCATGCAATGACAAGTGTCAATCAACAATGACGATAGTACATACATACAGTGCAGTCATCACTAATGTCGTGTCTACTACGTGGTATCGCGCAAATTTATAATACACAAAGCGGTTTTACTGTTGTTGCAGGTGTGTATACGAAAGGTTAGTCAGCTTTAAAAAGTACTTGACTTGATATTTCGAAACTCATGCGATTACGTCTAGGAAGTTTACACAGATACCAGTGCCATATGGCAACAGAATGACCTATGATCTTTGGATCATATATAGACACTGACTTAAAAAGGAAATGATTTCATACTACATTGTTTCGGTCTTCGTTTCCATATATTTGAGCAATGCTCTCCCCCCTATTAATTACCACAACGTGTATGCTGACTTTATTTAATGAATTGGCTTTACTTCGATCTGGCAAATACTCACAGACGTGCAGGCACTAATTTCTGAAGTTGATGCCCAAACTCAAGCCTGGAAGTAAGGTGTAAATTTGACTTCGATCAATATCACAATGTCTATTCCTGCCCGAACTCCCTATTGTCTTTGATATATACAGTATATGTGATAAACGAAATTTCATTCTACAAGAAAAAATGATTTATTGAATTTGAACGATAGATTTGTGGAATATTACCTAAAACACGCAGTTTCTAATTTTCAGCATATCATCTTATTGGTACTGATTTACTTTCACTGATTTACTAACAAAATACCCCCAAGAGATGGATAGACTGGACAGCACTACTGATATATCAGTATTAGTCATTTAAGTAATTATGGTGACGTATAACCTATTCTTAATAACTTCATACTTAATAAAATATTCTCGAGTTTTTTTATCTAAAGAATATTTTCCGTTCAAAGCAAATGGATCATAGAATGAGTCATTGGATTTAATCTACATTCAGTCTAAAACAATGTGTAATGATCCGTTATTCATTGCAATGGTTGTGGATTGCTTTCGGCGTCTTCTGTACACGGGTGATATTGTTCACAAGCTCCCAAAATTCCTCTCTGAAACATTAAGAATGCAGTGATCACAATCTACTGACATTGTCACAATTAAAATATGAGGATTCGAACTATCAATTATTTCGTGAAATAAATGGCTAAATATGACGACATTAATCTATGCGCAACTTCTGCAGCGTAAATTCGTACAGATTTCCATATAAAGTTCGATACAATATGATATTATTCTAAGAAGAATATATCTAAAAAAACGGAATTTTTCCCGCAGAACTTCAGCTAATTAGAGTTCACTACCTCGTGAATTGCTTCACGCTTACTACTACTTCATACGTGATTTACTAATACGATACTCACCGGCATTTTCAGGTTCGCAATTCACCACCATATTTACATAGTTTCAGAAGTGCTTGACATTTCAGTGACATTTGCTTTGAGAAAATTCATTTTAGGAAAGAGTCGAATTGAACATTGAGAGTATTGGTGTATGCTACTGAAGAAGTGCGAATCAAACGTTTGTGCAATATTGTGCAAGGGCGACCTTCTTGACATCCAATACCATTATACAGGGCGGATGTTGAACGGGCTAGATTCTATATAGAATTACCGGTAAAAATAACCTCTTTTGACCTAGAAAAATATTTTTCTAGATTGAGTAGTATGTTCTCAAAACTTACTCATTTTCTTTGGATATGATGTTGTAGAAATCATTGGCCTTAAAACCATTAAATCCTGTGGTAAAGCAGAATGTGTATGCGCCAGCATCTAGAGTCATAAAAAATTATAAATATAGGTTACTATGAGAAATATTTCATGAATACAGGCAGTGGTGGGATTCAATTTTTTTGTCAGTCGGTTCCATCACAAAAATCATATTTTTCACCCGGTTCTGTTACAAAAAGTCATTGGCATTAATCCTGACCGGTTCGCTGATCTCATAAAATTCCGTGAGACGGTTCTATAGAACCGGTGCGAACCCACTGAATCTCACCACTGGATACAGGGCTTATTGCACACGAAATGTATTGCTAAAATTGGTATTATTCATGTTGATGCTGTTATAATGACCAAAAATATTTTCTTTTTAATTACTGTATGAATCGCTATAAATGGATTTTTTTTCAATAGTTAATAAGCGTAAGTGCCTCGCAAAAAGCTGACGATTTTAATTAATTTATATTCGTTCTGGATCTCAATGTCTCGTTGTTTCCAACAGATTTAAAGAAAATGCGACATCACGTGGATATTCGTGCTCTCTCATTTAAATAGTAAATTACATTGGTCGTTCTAAATAAATCTCTACAAACTTTTCCACAACAGCCAATCTCCTGCATCCATTTCTGGCACCAGCAGTTTTTTTGCTAGGACGTCATCTCCGTCACAGGTTGGCCCAGTTAGACGAGCGTAATGCATCACTGGGTTTGCAGATCCCTAGGAAATAAAACTGACTCGTCGAAAAAACAACAACGAAATCAGAGTAACAATGTTTTATTTCTGCGTATATAATAAGTATAACAAGTATACAAGCGGGATAAAAAGCTTTCTATGAACGTTTTAAACGTCTATCTGTAATCATAAATCAAGTTCTCGTCGCATATTTATTTCCTACTTTGACACTGCTCAACATTGTGATCTGTACACTTATTTTACCTTTACAACAAACGGCTCTCCTTCACCCGGCATTAGATCACTGTAGTACTTCAAAGAACCATGTACTCCGTCACCTAGCACGTATTCTATATCGACATCTGCTTTATGTTTTGGCTCTGTAGAATAAAAACAACATCTTTCAGATCGCATTACCATAGGTGGATGTAAATTCAGATTTACCAAAACAATTCACATTTTAGTAATTCAGAAATATGAATTGTTTCATTAGATATTGGGTCATATACTAGATTTTATAACTGTTTTATCAAGCAACTATGTGCAGTAACAATAAGGAAATAAAGACTTTAAAAGGCGAGACCGCTACTAATATAAAATAAATGAAAACGTAGTCAATCGATAGGTAAGACAATATGTTTCTATGGAGCGATTCTAATTTTTCGATAAATTGATTGGATAATTGGTAAATTACAAAGCAAGACGTTCTGGTAAATTTCGTCGAAATTCATAAATCATAAGATCTAATAAAACACGTAGACCTCACCAAACTTAGATAGCACAGAAGTTGCCAATGTGAAAGCAGTAGACGAGTAGTACCTTCCAGGTTCAGCGATTATTTCTAGATTTCCGTATTCTTCAACTGGAAAGTACTTGTCGAGGTTTTCATTGACACAGGCAGAAATCTGTCGTAAAAGCAAATTATGTTCATGATGATTTTATCAGCGTAGATGATAGACAGACTACGAGAACCGGAATGATTCTATGACATATTCTCTAAGTCTAACATGTACTAGAGTGGTGTTTCCCAACCTATGGGTCACGACTCACTGTACTATTGAAAATCAAACGTGCAACCAATCATAAATACCCATGGAGAGAATTTTACAATTATGCAACACGCTTCATCTCATGTGCGCATTTACATTCCCGCAAGATTATTAAAAATACTAAACCTCAATACAATAAAGCATAGAATGGCTAAATGTTCTACAGAGAAAAGTAGGAGTATTTGTATTGCTCATTATTATAGTTACAGACATATGTATGCTAGTACCTCTTCAAACGAAAGCTTCGATTTTGGAACTGCAGGGAAGCCACCACCAATATCTAGAATAGTAAAATCCATGCCAAGTGTTTTGGCAAATTCAAATAATTCTTTCGAATCACGAATTGCTTTCGAGTACGTTTCTACACTGTTTATACCGGATCCGGGATGAAAACTATAAAAGAATAAATAAGTCGAATTCATTTTAAGAAAAATTGACGAGGATAAAGATGGGGGAAGATATAGAATTCCTACCACCAACGTACCATATCCCAATAATGTTCATTTGTAATTCTTTCGCCATTTTCATTAAATCACGTGTTTGGGTCATTGGTGCGCCAAATCTGTCGCTCAGCGGAAAGTGTGCTGTTACGTCGTCTGTTTCTATGCGGAGCAATAAACTGTTCAGGAAGAAAACATTACTTTTTGTCATTACTACAGTTGATGGAAGGAAAAAATTGAATTGTTGGAATATAGATGTGGTCGTATTTACCGTTATACTAACTCAAAAATCTTGGTTTTCAGAAGTTTCCGAAGAACCCAAATAAATACCTCAAAATACCAGCACCGCGCCTAAGAAGTGTGTGTATCAATATGGTGGTAACTGATTTTGTTCGCCTACTTTACATCGAGTTATGTAAAGGAACTGAAACCTATTGGTAGGGGGTATCTTCACTAGGCTAACACAGACAGTATTCGAGCTCGTAATATAAGTGAAATTGGAATAAAATTATTGCCCAAGTCTAACTTGGTACACACACTATGGGAGTACCCCAGCAACTATACAATTCAAGATACTGTTTGTTTGTGGGTAAACACACAACTGTTTAGGATGCTTGAGTATATTATGGATAAATTACATAGACATCATATATATATCAGTGGTTCCCAACCGCCTGTCCGCGAGAAATTTTATTTTGTTGTTTTTCTGCCGTCTCAATCGCTTTACCGAAGCCGAAGTTACGTTGGTGTATTACGCAATTTCTCTTCAATCGTCATATACTATTTGATAATTGCGGTATTAATGGCCCGGCGACGTCCTGGCGCCGAGTAATCACACTTTTTTATTTTACGGTTCCGATTCATCGCAAAGGCGCTCCGTCAAATTTTGCAAGATTCAGAAACCTTAAAATCAGCATGCGTGTTTTTTCCGTTTTGCACATTTTTCTTGATTAATTAGACGAAGTTACGTTGGTTTATTACGCAATCTCGCTTTCGCCGTCATATTGCTGTTCGATAAGTGCGTCGTCAAATCTCGCAAGATTGAAAAACCTCAAAATCAGCATGCGTGCTTTTTCCGTTCTAAATGCTTTTCTTGATTAATATTACCTTCCAAATAAAAGGTTATGAATATTTCTTCGTTCAAATCAAAAAACTGTCAAGAGCAGTATAATATCACAGAGCTTCACCTTGACACACAGCGAGATATGAACTTGTGGCGAACCTACAGGTGGTCACGAGACGCGCAACAAAAGCATGGGCCGGTGTGATCTTTTCTGGGTTATGAACTGCAGGATTTTGAGCCTGGTGCCAAGTTAGCACCGACTTTATCATTGTATTATAAATTCATTCTGTTTGGTGCGTCGATCGACTGCAGAGGGATTAATATGATGAAACCTCTTCTTTATAGTCCAGATTTATAAAATAACCAGTCATTATTCATTCTTGAGCTCTCAAACTGTTGTCCGAATTTTCAACCAGTTACTTCTAGCTTCAATCAAAACGAAGCAAATAAATCGGCTGTGAGCCGCTGCAGAGCTACGTGTTTTCGATGCCTCGTTTGCAATCCTGTATAATTGTGTTTGTACATGATTTGGCATGTACATGTTTTTTATGTGAGATGTGTGCCTTTTTACGCACAATGGGTGCCCAGCATTGCATTTTATTATGCAAATAGGCTATATGCTATTATTTTATGTCCCATCCATTTCAATTTTTGGCCGGCACATTATTTGATAGTTTTTTCTCATGTGGAATGTTTTAAAGTGTGTCTTTTTTCTAAAAGCATAGTGATCGACCGACATTACCCAAGTATATGTTATTATTTTCTGTTCCACTCATTTCAATTTTTGCCGGTCCGCGGGTACGTTTTATTTATATTTACCGGTCCGCCATGGTAGAAAGGCTGGAAACCACTGTCATAGATCACAGCACTTAGCAGCATGCAGTACAAGCAAGAGAGAGCGTAAGCAGGCAAGGTCAAAGGTGACAAGTACAGCATCAATAATGAAGTCAAAAATATGATCTTACAGATACTACCCAATTCCTAGAGCTTTACTATTCATGTTTTCAGTGTTTGTGGAATAAATATTTTGGTAACTCACAGATAAGTCTAGGCCGAACTGCATCATCATATAATTACTGAATATTTACTCAACTCTGCTGCTGGATAATGTTTCTTCATTTTCAAAAGTTCCGTTTCATGATCAAACACGAATATTTTCACTCCGTTTTCCATCGCGTGTTGAATATGAGATATTTTCTTGAAAGGATTTGCAAAGATCATGTCGTTGGGTGGAACTCCGTATTTTACACATAATTCAACTTCTTCCTATAAAATGCGTGATAATTTCATATTAGTACCGTATCAAAGTACTGTATAAGAGAGTAATGCTCAAATATCACGACACGAAAGCCAAATGTCAAGTATACCCACGAATTGAAAAAGAAAACAGCAAAATTATGCCTCAGATGAAATTGAAAAAATAATTTAAATTAAAGTAATAGCATTCTAGCGACTTCTTCGAGAAGTAATTAAATTTGAAATCGATTGGTCAAATGTCTGCCGAAAAAAGACAAAAATCGCATACTTTACAATTTTTCTAAATGAGTATATAATAGCTATGCACTCATATAAAGTTAATCTGTTATATGATAAATATTTACTTGATATTCACAAGTAGAACTCGTAACTTGTTGCGTAATTTCCCTTTGGATTCAAGTGAACGCGATTTGTACATTTTTCAAGACACGTAATTTCTATCATCTATATATATATTACGATTTGTTGTTGACAACATTAAAGGAATCGAGTGTATTTATGATCAGTTCAATACCCAATGATATCCCCGACAATGATCATCCACGGAAATAATCTTATTATTAACAAATAAATAACAAAATCATTATGAATATAATGTTACCTTACTGGAGCATTCGAAAGCTCCCCCCATTGCATTAAATGCACCAACAAGTGGTCCATAAGGTGCTACTTTGACAGCAAAAAACGGTCGTATGCGTGGCAATGCCTTTTTCCAATTATTGTGTGTCTTTGCTATCTCCCCGAGGTCACATATAAAAAAGCTGTCGTCGAAATCCTTGAAGTAAGAGCGCATAAGTGATAAGCCGGAATATTCAAAATCCGGTTGTAAAGATTCAAAAAGATTGTGCGGTAGAGAACTAATATTCATTGGCATGAATACCAACATTCGCACAACATTGAACTGCTGAGTAGTGAGTATATTCTGATTGATCAATTACATTTTACACTAGTATGATATTTACCAAATAATATACGTCGAAAAAATTAGATTGCGTCTGGACACTGAATAAGCATATATGCCCGTCTTGTGACATTTTGGATGACTGGTAGATATCCTATGAAATATCCATGTTCAATTATTTAATTGCATACAAGTTCATAACATATCATTTTGGCCGTACTTTGTGCAAGCCACACTTCTTAATCATTACGATACGACTAAAACATGTGTAATTCCGCAAACCTTTCTTCCATCTGGTCGTTCTGATATTATTTTGGCAGCTTCTCTCAATGTTAGTCCTTCTATGGTTTCGATATCCTCCTGAACAATGAAATAAATATTCATGCAAGAAAACTTTGAAAGTTCATGCTGTTTAGAAACACGGACTCTTTTAATAAGCTGAAATGAATTAGTAAGCACACAGAATGGGCGCCAATTTTTCACGATCTAAAATAGTACGTTGTCCGAGACTGTATTTGAAAGCTTCAGGCAGAAGTTAGTAGTTTTCCGTTGAATGCTAACATAAGTCACCCGGGCATTAGTCACAGGCTCAACAACAATATTCTTTACCAAATCTATTTTTTTTAAATGATTGGTTCGTCGGTTTCATATTTGTCAAAAAATTTGATTTCTCGTACAATATTCATTCGTTATTCACTGTTATTTTTCACGACTGCGTGTTACAAAACGCTGCCCAGTGGCAGTGTTGTTCATTTTTGATCCTCAAAGCATTTCAGGAGACTTGGAAAACTGAAATAAACTGTCATATACAATTTCAGTGGAATTCCAACAATATTTGTATATATATAAATATATACCCATTGTGACTTTTCAGAATTATTTCTCTGTAAGTAGTATGGTGTGTACCCAGACTCGGAAGTAATTCGTACACCGTTCTGAAGGTGAATCATTTTGCAAATGTCTGATATTTGGGAATGTTTTTGTCTTCTATCAATTTAAATTTTATTTTAATCTGGCATATATATATTCATAAAATTGAAGCAGGGTTGCATTCAAAATAGTTAGCAATTAAAGTACGCGACAACAAAAATGTAGTGATAAATTAATTTGTATGTACGAATGTAAACTAGAACCCTCTCGATTAGGATACGTTACAGAAAAGTCTTTTAATTGTAAAGTACGTGAGCTAGGTGATATGCATTATGCAAATGGTGGGTTCCATTTCGGTGTAGCACTTTCTATGATTTTTTCCCTGTTAGACTTAATGGCGATTCTTAAATCCGCAAGTGACGGGTATTTGTCAAACCGAAAAAGCCTGCAAATACTAATAAAGTTTCTTAGTCCAAGTTTTCATCTCGGAGTCAGAGGCTGGAGTCATTTTTTAATCTTTGAGATCGAGATTATGAGTCTGTTTTGATATCCAGATTTGATTTTTAAATTTCCGAAATCCAAAGTCGGATGAACATTTTCCTCTACCCCCATGCAAAAAAAAGAACAAAAAACTTCAAATTAATCTACGGGGTGCCACAATGAAATATTAAACATTTACTTCCTTAGGCAAATTTTCCAATTAAATATATAGACATGATTGGTTATAAAACAGTATGTTCAGACATGTATACCAATTACCAACTTCAACTGAGTTTTGTTCCAGAACTCAGAAGCCCTATAGTCAACAGTTATTTTGTGGTAATGGAGCAGAACCATGGAGTCGGAAGACCGACAAGTATTTTCTTAGCAAAAGCTAACCCTGATTTGAGATAGGGTATACTACGTTTTTAAAAACACGTTTATATTCTTATCGCTAATCACAACTAATAATACATTAGGCCAGGGGTGCGCAACCTTTTTTACAGGCGGGCCAAATACAAGTAACTGGGTGAAGCCGCGGGCCGCACCTGTAAACTCTACCTACGAAAGTCTCTGGATACGAAAAAATTTTAGTGTTCATTAGGTATTTCGATGTTCTTCCCTCTTACCATGTGTACCTTAAGGAATTTTCTACCTCCGAAGAAGTTTCCGTAATTGAAACGAAATTAATTTGTTTCAAGCCCCTTCGTAAGTAGAAAATTCCGTAAGTATGGACGCTCTTTACCTGAAAACGCATCAATCCGTTCCAAGCCCCCACAAAACTCGGACATAATATAATATGACTGGGCTAAGCAAAGACCGTGGAAAGTCGGAGAAGGTGAGAGAAAGCGTTAAAAGTCGAAATTTAAGAGAGAACGTAATGTACGAAAATGAGCATACGCACATGAAATTCAAAATTAGAATTTACTTTTTTTATCTTGCAGCTTTATTTTAATATTTTTAGTTTTAACTGTTACGCGTATCATCGTATTCGCAACTGAAACTGAGTGAGACTTATTGTACGAACCCGCGGGAAACAATGGGCCAATGGAATAGCAGATAGTTGATTGGCGTGTGGCATAGACTTTTTATATTGCTTACGACACCATTCGTTGATTCAGAAAAACGCAAATGTAATTACTCGATCATCGTCATTATCAAATAAGTGAACCTGATTTCCAAATTCCCATCCGTCAATAAAAGAGAATTAAGAAATCTTCTTTTATTTTGCGAGTCGGCGCTGATTTAAATATTTCATGTCGGCCGTTATGATTCTATTCTCGATTATAAATTAATACCATCAACTTAAACTGAACGATATTGTCATCAACGACGCGGCGATAGATACTAAATAATATTTAAAAGCTATTTTATACGCTTTAAATTGCAAGAAATGATAAATTTGCCCTCATGTTCGGTCAATATCGAAATGGAAGGATGAAAACAAAAAATTACAACACAATTTGCTCTTAGATTTATTGCCGAGGCGCACAAACTATCTCAACAAAATTGATTATATACAAAAATAATTGTAAAACATTTTCAATCAAAAACATCCTCGACGTGTAATAAGCACTTCAAGTCAGCGCTAATTGAAATCTTTTCATGCCGACCTTAATTTACTGCCGCGCGCATACGACTGCCTCCGGCTGGGATAAAAAATGAAATATATATATAATTGTAAAATGTTTTAAATCCAAGCGTTGACGGCGGCGCTGGGATATGTACGCAATATTCGGTATTCTTACAAACACGAAAACGATAATCGAAATTCTAATTGGACATCCGTGCTTCAAGCACTGCCATAAATTAATCTAAAATAAATAAATGTCAATACACGCGTTTTTCGTTTTCGGTTTCCGGCCTTTCGTATGTAGAAAATCTTACGTTAGCCGAGGTAATATTTTTACAAAAAGAATTCTCGTAAGGTAAATTTTTCGTATCCAGAGCCTTTCGTAGGTAGAGTTTTTACTGTAGACGCAAGTACATAAAAATTGTTTCTTTTGTTATTGATCTTACGGCAGGGGTCGGCAACCTACGGCCAACGGAACAATATAATCCGGCCCGCGACGCTTCAATGAATTATAGTAACAAAACAGCTCTTTTGGCGATTATATTCTTTACGCAAGAGAATTAATTTTGAGACACGTGTAGACTAAATTATATTATAATCTAACAAGTATATAATTCACAATTACTCGTTTAATGAGCCTATAATTTAATTATAATATATATATATAATACAAATAGCAACAAAACGCAGAAAAGTTGATGCTAAGTGCAAATGATTTAATGACGTAGAAAATATTCAAATGGTCATTCCTCTCGCGCTGCTTAAAATTCAACTTCTGATTTATTGTAAAAGACTGTGATTTGTCGGCCATCCGTTCGGTTTTTACCTTTCTAAAAATATGTGCGGCCCTCCAATGACTTGCAACCTTTAATTTTGGCCCGCGAGCGACAAAAGGTTGCCGGCCCCTGTCTTACGGCATTATGGCATTGTTCGGGGTCCAAGCGGAAATGTTTTAAAACGCTAAAACTTCTAAAGAAGACTGCTATTCAAATTTATTGTCACACCTACTTCAAACGAATTCTGTGGGAAAGAAACACGCTTTTATAACATTGTGTATTTTCAGACTGAATCTTTCTAGCTATTCTCATTGATATGGCAGTGACATTCGGGTACTGGTATAGGCTTCGCGACGCAAGGAGATTGAAATCTAAAGCTCCTTTCGCGGGCACATCATTCAAAATTTACACTTCTCCGCGGGCCGCAGTTTGCACACCCCTGCATTGGGCTATACAATGAGCATGCTCATTGGGCTATAGAATGCAGAATTAAGATATGACTTCATGCCGCTTACGAAAGGCTTGCCTATAATATCTGCTCACAATTCCACGTCATATGTCTAATCATAAATAGGTCTAATGATAAATTTCGAGAATTGCATCACCTATGCAAATAGTAATATTGTTGCGATAAGCAGTATGTAACTCCATGTGATGCAATTCCTGAATAAACTACGAAGTATATAACAACCTCTCCAGATGTAAAGTATACCATCATTCCGAAAAGAAGAGGTTACGAGAGTCTATGTAAAAAGTCGGTCAAGTGCTTACATATATATTCGTTATTGAAATGTTGATATAATCAGCGAACCTGTTTTTGTTCTAGACGTAGGAAGACCACGGCTAGCGTCTCTGGTTTATTTGGTGCTTTAAAAGTCATGTATTAGAACTTATTTACAGTTACATTTATGTAAAGCGCGCCATGTTAAACGGCATACATACATTTTAGTGTGAGGGAATCATAACCAGTTGTTAGCGAGTTGCATAAAGATAATCTATTTTTGAAATTTGGAATCCCGGCACTGCTTGACTGGGTACCGGTACTGTTCATTGAGTATTCAATGGTATTGTTGGGTGAAATATTTTCATAGGCCTAGTTACATGGATATTTATTTATCCATGCTTGCGTTAACGCAGAGTAAGCGCCACTTAAGTTTCGGCTCACGTGTCCTTATCGTTGATCATGATGCGTAAAGAGTCGAGTCGCTGTCGCGCGAGGTTTGGATTAATTTTGCGCTGAAAATAGACTTCTCGTTGTCTTCGTCAATCTTGGTTTGTAATACGGTAAATAGTATCGGGTCAGCCAGGTACATCGTGTTAAAAACAGATATAGGAGTCAACATGATGTAGGCTAGTCGGCATTCGAATAGCGAACAAGACTGAAGAAAGTACCGGTATTGCTGTATTCTGGTATTGTGAATGTTTCCGCCACCCCATCGCCTAAAGTTATAAAAGCGTATATTTTTTATCAGTTCTCCATTTTATCCATAGTACTACACAGTTGTTGCCAATTGAACAAAAAAAAATAGACACCTCCTGCAGCGAAAGACTAATCTACAGATCTAGTTCTGCTGCTCAGCAACTACAGAACTAGGCTATGTATAAACTGAGTACGGTGTGTCTAAGTAAAGCTTTGACTTTCATGTCATGTTGAATAAGCTTCTCTGTAAATTTCAGGCACCTAATTTGTGTTTGTATCGAATTAGTAAAATAGTGAGAGTTAATATGCTTAAAAGAGTGGTGGCAGTGTTGATAGTTCTCTGCGCAATATTACTGTTGTGTGAATCTGGAGAATCGCAGAGGGATTATTACGAAGTTCTGGGAGTATCAAGAGGAGCTTCAAAAGGTGAAATCAAAAAAGCTTTCAGAAAACTTGCTTTAAAATATCATCCTGATAAAAATCACGAACCAGGAGCAGATGAAAAGTTTCGTGAAATAGCAGAGGCCTACAAAGTACTCTCAGATGAAGCGCAACGTCGCAAATATGACCAATTTGGTCATGGCGGACTGAATGATGAACAAGGCGGTGGTGGAAATTTCCATGAGTTTTTCAATCAACACTTCAGCTCTAGAGATTTTTTCAAAAAGTTTGATTTTGGTGGAGATTTTGATGATTTTTTCCATTTTGACAATATTTTTGAAAGTTTTGGGGGACATGGGAGTAAATTTGGAGGTGGACCTTTTGGTGGGTTTCACTCTAGTTTTGATGATGATGTTGGGCATAGGTCTTTCCAGTCCCAAACTTCATACATGAGGGGTGGAGGTAAACAAAAGTGCAAAACAGTAACAAAGAAAGTGGGCAACACTGTAACTACTTATACAACGTGTACCACTGATCACAATGACTTATAATTTTATCCTTTTTTTCTGTATATGCCTTTTCTTCTTCACTTTATTCAAATTTGCCTGTACATCGGCGCTGGATGTAGGGCCAAGTCGTAACTTTACTAGTTGAACAAGCCTCAACTAAAAACTTTTGCAATGAATTTGACGAACCTTAGTTTATGGAAATGTGTGTAAAGTTAGATCGGAGTCATGACAAGCTGATTAATGATATTATTTTATAATACGGTACAGTATTCGGATGCAATAATGCCCGCTTGAAACTAGTTTTTTTAGGGTGTCAATAATATATTATGTATATGTTTGTCAAGATTATGTATACACATGTTTAATTTTAAATATTTTATTTAGAAATTTCACTGTAGATTACCACTCATAGTTTTATTTACTTGTTGCAATAAATAATACGTCAAACTAATTAAAAGAGTATTTATATAAGAGGTTGAGTTGCATTGGATTTATGTGAAGTAATATAAATGCAGGAAACTTTACTCAATCCTTGTAATTTCCCCATGGGATCACTTTGCAAGCAGCCACTCAATAGCAGGGGCAGAGAGCTACTGCATTTTGAATGGCCTCTATATTGGACCCTGTGTATATTATTACTCTGGTAAATTGGCCCTGCCATCAGAAATGATAACAGCTTGGATAGAGTCATCTCATGGAAAAGAGCCAATTTGTTTAAATAACAAACTACAATTAGTGAAAAGTGTATCATCTATCCATCATTATTAACACCAATAACATGAACTTGCCTCTGTACTACCGGTTTGCTGGAGCATTAGAACTCTGTAAGCGAATGTTCAAATTTCTCTGTAAAAAGCATCAGACACAAAAGAAACACTATTTTGATTTATCAGAATTATGCATATATATTTTAATTTCTTGAATTGAAAAAGAACGATAAAGCAGTGCAGAGATAGAAAATGAAGGCTTTGAAGCAAACTTGAATACATAGTGTAAAGTTCAAAAGCTATTATTTGGCAAATTAGCACAGTGTTTTGTGGTGAGTATAGATAGATTGTGAATTTTGGCAAGTGGCTTAGGTGGTCTAATTGCATTGGCTTTCATTGACCATAAAACTTGTATGGACAGGTTGAAGTAGGCTTGAAATTGAAATCGGTGAGAAAAAATAAACTCATTCGCAATATCAGAATTTCGTCAATGTGCTGGCAGCTGACAAAAGATGAAATGTTGTGATAGAAAGTTGTTTTTTCACTTTTCCCCAGTTGACATCCCGTTTTGCCTCGTATATTGCATCGGTAAGTCCAGAAAACCCTGATCCTGCGTACGAGTCGTGAACACTTGGTGCAAATACTACATGCCTGAATGAGAGATGTCATGAGTAAGTACAGCATTAGTTGGTTTCAAGCTAATACAGTCATACCAGTAAACTAGATTCCGCGTTGTATATGGTTTCTAAGATTCCGTGATCGTCCCTCAGTCAAGCATTATTTGTCAAATTTTATAAGTTTGAAAATCTTACATGCTTAACTGCTCTAGTCCAAAGTAATTTATGATTTTGAATCACACCTGATAAGCATTTTGAATTATGTCGCTTTCTCACGACCAATTTATGTATTTTTATAATTCTACAATGTGTTTCGAGAGCTCCATTTGGCAAATACTTCATTTCAAGTGATCTCCGGTACATGCCTACATTATACATACTATATTAATTAATGTAGTTTCACAGAGACAAGGATCTTCTAATATCCATATTCAACAAAAAATATATCTCAACTATAGCAGTAGTACCGGTATATTACCTGAAATAAGGTCTGCCTGGAAGACCTTGAAAATCTAGGAAAGCTCTGTCAAGATACATCAATTTATCATTCAGTTCACGAAACCTGTAAGAAGCTATTAGGGAAAAAACAGAATATATTTATTTTTGAAAAAACACAATACAAAAGCATTTTTGAATGAGATATCCTACAAAGCGCCCAGATCGAATGTGTGAATGAATTCAGGCACGTATGAGAATAAAGAAGGATAATAGACAGTTATTGTGAAATGGGTTATTGACAAATACATAATTCAAGTATCTACATTAATGTCGGAAATGCCCGAATATGAGCAAATTTAGTTCCCACTATCATAACTACCTCGCACTTACTTTGTAATATTAATATTGGAAATATCTCTAGCAAGATCTAAGATGATTTGAGCAAAGTTTCTGCAGCTGAATGAAGACCATCTGTCAAGAAAAATGACATAAACATTACCTGTATGTAAATATATTCAAAAAACATACAAAAGCTCCAAATAAACCTGCATTAATCAGTTTAGGGAATGCAGTTTGCTGTTTTGTTTGATTTAAAATACCGGTAAGCTAATTTTACACCAAAGTCAAGTATACTTATTCTCAAAAAATGTTTTTTGGGAAAATTTGATACATTGATGGTTTATCATTACATACTCTTGAAGCACACACAGGGAAATAGCTACCCGGATGAAGATTCCATAAAAATCAAAATGGATATACTGTACACTGATAGACAATCAGTTAATAGTGTGATACATTATATATTTTAGATGCCGCTTACATGTAAATTTACAAGTAGCACATTTAAAGTTAACTGACCTAGCCTGATTCCATTTTCTGCTAGTTGTTTTGCATTGTTTTTATCGATTATATTGATCATATCTCTGATTTGTTCAGCATAGTCGATAGGATTAAATGGTATAACAGAATCATCTGCGAATCTTCTAGCAAGATCTCCCCATATTTGTGCCATTGCTAGACTGAATTTATAATCAGGATCCAAGAATTTTTCAAAGTACCTGTTGTTAGGAGAAGGAACATACTACTAGAATTGATAATACAATTTTTTTCAATGAATAATAAAATTGAATAGAAGCAGAAGACACAGATAGATATAAAGACATTTCACAATACTATGAATTTGGGTAGATTGATTCAATACATAATTAGAAAGTTCATTCAAATGCAAATTAAACAAATTATTGTTTAGCTTTGTAAATGCTATAAAAAAATTAATTCAACAACTGTACACATAAATATATAGTTACAAAACATATATACTTACTCAATTGTGTCATGAGCTGAATGATAAACAGGATAAGAAGATAGTTTTTTGTTGTGCTGTCAAATATATGTTAAATTTCATCAAGCCAACAGATCATATAAGATCAAACAGATTCCATAGAAAAAAATAGCTTGAGCACATAAAATCTCCCATGAAAGTTGTTTTGTGTGCGTTTTCAGAGTCTTGGGTAACCTCATCCCATTTCCACTTCAACTACAGGAAATCTCATTTTTTTTAGATGGGTTATTTAATCAGGGTATTTTATTTTCTAAAAAAATTTCAATGACTCCTTACTATTAAGTCTGAAATACCGATCCCCATCACAAAGGAATCCAAAATTTCAAATTTGGCCTTAATTCCTAATGTCTGTTTCTAATGATTAGCCGACTGCACCATTTAAATTAAAACAGAATAAGTGAATACCGGTATGTAATATCAGAAGAACACTTTTCAAATTCGCTGTATTTACTTAGTGACAGAAAAGTTAAATTATCATAAAATCATGCCTATTATGTCTTATTAAAATAGACTCACTTCATCAAATGTGTATCGAATGTCAAGAGAAGAAACTCCAGTTTTTTGTACAAACATCATGTAATCACTTCCTGACCCTAGAAATCCAACGAAGGGACGACCATTGTTGTTTCTGTTGAAATAACAGAATGTTAATCCACCACAAATTTCCATATTTCGTAGAGTATCGGACAAACTAAGATGACATATTAGATAGGATAGTATATGGGGATGTGAATTTTGTTTGTTACATATTTGAAGCTAGTTGCCCTGAGACGCTGGCTACACTTACATCCCAGTTTGGGTACAGGACCAACTCAGCCAGGGTAATGGATTGAGAATGCTATGCCGAACAAGAAGGATTCGATTTTTCTGAATATAGTAGCTACATATCAGAGCTGTTTGTCCTTGCTGTTGTTGAAAGCAAGGGTATGAAGTAGTCTTACTTGTCATAATAAACCTTCTTCCAAGTGTCATAAACCGTTAGTCTATTATTTGCAATTTCTTTAGGATCGGGATTAGGAACTTCTTTTGTAACTTCATACAAAATAGACCGAAGATTTGGAGTTGCTCTTGCCCGAAATGTTGCAGTGCCTGGAAGATAAAAGACAAAGAAATGTTTGAAACCAGAACTACATGAATTCAAATTTCCCTTGTGGCAATTGTGTCTACACATAGTTATCAATTTACATTTAATCAGAAGATAACAAAAACAAATAATAGGTATGTGGTAAAAATAATGTAATGCAATATAACTTCTTGCATATATGATTTTAATGTATGCTAGCCTCCTTTGATTGTCACTTGACTCGAGGATATTTAGTCAACTTATTGCTACCCTAACAATATCAGTGACTACCTTGTACAGCAATATCAACATTGAGATATGTAACAGCATTCATTAACAATTTCTTTTCGAATTGCTCAACCCATTCAATAGACCCGATCAATCCATACTCTTCAGCTGCCCAGCTACAGAACACAATAGAACGTCGGGGTCTCCATTTACCACTCTAAATACATATTCAGTCAAATATTTTATCACCAAATCATTAGGAGATAAATGAGAAAAACAGATGTGGAATACCTTGACCATTTCTCCCATCACTCGGGCAACCTCCAACATAACTGCTGTTCCACTAGAAGGATCAAGAGCACCAAACACCCAAGCATCTCTATGATTACCAATCATAACATATCGATCCGGTTCAACAGAACCACGAATAAAACTGAAACATGGAAGTACAAAAATGCTCAAGGCAGTCATTAATTTGTAAAAAGCTATAAAACATTCCATGTTCAGCATTCCCTTCCCAATTTAGTTGCACACTGGGTGGCTATGCCAACTTATATCTCATAAACAAGGATTCACATAATGACCCCGTGGTAAGGAAAGTCAATAAGACAGCTTAATTATATGGCAAACCACAGCCTCTCGTCCTGTTACCAGTCTATGTTTGGATATGGGATTAGTTAGCCAGTTATTTGTTTCAGATGTATGGAACCGACCAGTGGTTACATGAACCACCCCAAGGCGGAGAGGAGCCCAGCAATCCTCTCGCCCATATTTATCCCTCATAGGATATAAACCTGCAAAGGTAATCAGATGTGTGGTGGTGAGCGTATTACTAACGCTTAGCACGATGCGCCACACCGCCGAGCCAAGTTTTTAGATTTGTCCCTGAAGGTTTTAATTACAGAAAAGAGGTCAAACAGCTTAGAAAATCAATTGAAAGAATTTTCTCAAGTTAGCTTATCAACTAAAAACAATTCTGTGAGTTTTGTTAAGAGGAAAATTTATTAATTGGGATAACAAGCCCTACTCATTCAGTATCCAGAAATTATTGACTCGATTAATGTTATATGAATAAACTTACTTTTTATGTTTTATGTAAATTCTAACGTAAATTGTGGCTGATGGTTAAGTTTCGCAAAATAATTGGGCTCATGGCCATAATCAATTTATTATGTGATAATTTCCAGCATTTGGCTTACCCAAATGTAACCCAACTGCTCCATAGTATTCGTTCTCTTACTCACCCAATGATGTTCTTAACTTCAGTTATCGGTCTGGTATTAGCAACGTGAAGTACAATATTATGATTATTAGCAAAGTCATCTGTCATCTTTCCTCCAAGCTTGTATGTTATATTCAAACCACCCTGGTAATAAAAGTTATTTTTTTAATATTGATAGGGAAAAAAAAAAATATGACGATATATAAGTATGGTAGCGGGACTATGGATAAACAAATTTTATGAATATATATTCAGTACAAAGTCAAAATACACACTTCAGAAATCTGATAGTCGAGTCTATGCTTCCAAAAACCAATAATTGGCTAACTATCGAAATCCCATACCCGACATGGACTGGTATCCAGACGATCGGCTTTCCTCTCTGCCGGGATGAATATGTAAATCCTATCCTAATACAGATGTGTTTCAGAAGAATGAAAAATAGGACTTGAAAAACATTGATTTTCATTATCTGTAGCTTTGAAATAGATCTTTTCCAATATCACAAATTGAATCATTTGATTGGAAAAATAGAAAGCTTGAATTTGAACTGCAAGACCCATCTTGTGCAGCTGGCCAAGCAAATAAACTGGCTGACTATATGGGGGGGCTCAACAACCCTCTATATGGAGTCTATGCAAATGAAAATTGAAACTGAATCTATACAAATTACTAGCTGTAAGCTTTACATAGCCTATCTGCAGCATAGATTTCCATTTCAATGATAACATTAACCCATAGCTGGGTTCATAGTTAAGACTGATTTGGTAATGGATTCATACACAACTTACCATCCAATCTGATGGTGCACTGTCTCCTCCAATACTTGACAAATATATAAGAGCATCTTCTGCACTGATTGGTTGTACTGGTATTGTTGGCAATCCAGTCTCATTTTCTGGTATTCTGTTCAAAAATAAATTTAAATCTCTACTGTTGTATATGATGAAATGAGAAAAGTGATGAGAATTGGACAAGGTGACTTAAATCATAATATGGTGAACCAAAATATATATTCCTGTCACTGGATTAGTTCACTAGTTCAATTTCTTCTGTTTCGTGAACAAGGTTGACTTGCAAGTACAATATTGTTTATAAATGCATTTCGTTCACTCCAAGAAATAAAACGATTACTGAATGCTTATATTGAGGAAAAAATGTTTTATCTGCTTCATCAGAAAGCTGCGAACTGATCTTTTCTACAGTAAAGTAATTTATGTTAGGCTCTGAATGTATGCTAATATAAGGAAATATATATATCAAATACCATGATTGCCAAAGTGCTAATGATTGTTTTTATCGATCAATATATCATATTTTATGTTGAATAATGATTATGAGTTAAAATCAACTTACATGAAGATTTTTACCTGTAAGATGATTTAATTGATGGATAAAAAGGTGTTAGTGGATCTCCATCTCGCAAATGAAGACTGCCTCGTTGCACTCCATCAGGTGGTAGTCCCCAACCATTGGGATAGGTAGAGTCCGAACTATAATCGGCAGGATCACTATACATAATCAATCCAGAACAACCATTTCGTTCCGCATAAATCGCCTAATATAGAAATAAATAAAATTAAAAAACGCAATTTAAATGAATTTACAACATCGTCCCAAGTCATGATTCAAAATACAAAATAAACCTGAGCAGTGAGCACTATATGGAAAAACTATAAGAGCTAAATTATGTAATAAAACAAATTCCCTAATTCAAGTACTGAATTTTATTTCTTTGTTTATGAATCTGAAGCATACATAGATGAGGAAACTAATAGCAATTTCAACCTTTCCCAGCAAAAAAATTAGTTAAACGCATAGAACTCATTGAGTAAATTAAGTAAATAAAAATTCAAACCAGAAAATTGCATATTAGTCATATATAGTCATATATAGCATATAGTCATAGTCATATATAATTTACCTTATCACCTCTGAATATTTTCCCAAACTTAACAATGCAGATTTTCCCTCTCACATCTATATTTAACGTTCTGCTGATTGTTTCAAAATCTTGAACACGGCCATAATTCACAAATACCAATTGACCCTGTATAGGAGATCAATTAGAAACAGTCAATTAAACAACCTATAAGTAACTTATACACACAATTATTAGGGTTGCAGTTATGGTCATTACAAGGCTTTTGTATTAAATGAATAACACTTTTTCACATTAGTGTGCACTTTAAACATGTATGAATATTAATCTATGAGCAAGATTGAGGTAACAATACTGCGTGAAGCTAATAGCCTACTTATTCAAGCAATGCCACCAAATCATTAAAATATTATTTTTTACTGGTATGTTTGTACTCTCTCACACTTACACCCCGGCAAAATTAAGAAACATAATGATAAAAGGGTAATACTATTACATACAAACCTCAACGTGGCCTGCTGCAGCATAACTAAGAAAAGTTGGTTGTTTAATAGTTTTAAAATTTTCTTCTTCCCATGTTGTTAGGGGACTCTCATATGCTTTCGACTTGTGAGAAATTGAGCCATCTGAATTTTTCATTGCAACATAATTTGGATCCTTTTCATTGGGAACTGATAGCAGAACATCATATGGGTAGACCTAAACAAACGAGATCATAGATAATACAGAGCTGTTGAGTTGGACATGTTTATATTTATATTGGAGTCAAACGTTTCAACTCTTTGGAGCCATAAGTCGAAATTTCAGACTTCATAACGTTTATGAATTCAAAATTTCTGACCGAAACTTGAAAAACTTGTTGACTAGGTATGACTTAGTTGACTGAGCATTCTTAAGGTGATTGAAAAAGACTTGCATCTGGCAAAGTGATATCAAAATTTGATTTTCTAAAAGCCAAAATTTCTTTTAATCGAGAGTCAGGAACCAGATTCGCTTTTCAAATAGCAGTTTGGAGTCTGGGCTGGATGATGATTACCAAATTGTTTATACATGTTTATATTACCTTTACTTCATCCAATTGTTCTTTCCAATTATTAATAATCAGATCAACAAGAATGTCTTCTTCTTGACTTGTTCCAGCAAGATGAACTTTAGAAGCCAATGCTCTAATTTAAAATATATGCAGAATTGAAATATAGCCTACATTAAAAATTGCGTCCATTAAAACTAATTATAAATGTCAAACTACCATAACTATCTAATGCTCCATACAAACTGACTGATATCAGCATTTAAGTTTATAATACACTTGGCACAATATTTTCTTTTGGGTCGAGTCCAATTCAGTAATAGCGATTGAAGCATTGCTTGTTACCCATGTCTGGTTTAAATCCCTGCCCTCTACCTAGCCCACAAGAATTGGGTAGGCAATGCAAAAACAGAAATATTCGAATTGTAGCTCTTCCGATATCATTAGATATCGGTGGATGCTTGTACAGAACCTTGTTTGGAACAAAAAGGCATAATCAGCATAAGAAAAAAAAATTAATAAATTCAACTTTAACTAAACTTGAGAACGAAAAATGTGAGAAAAATAAGCATAAGCACCTATGTTATGTATTGGGAAAGAGTTTCTCATCAATTATCCCCCAATGAACTGACAGGGCTTGCTCAAGTATTACCGTATATAGTTTTTCGCTTCAGGAAAAAGTGACTGAAATACTAACAACTGCAACATACTTCAAATTTCTCTTTATATTTTCTGCCTTCAAGTTGTTGAATAACAAGTCTCTCACATCCTGTTGTGTTGAAGTATCAACAATAACACTGGAAGTTGCAAAATCATCACTCCTACTGCTATGTGACGAAAGGCCAATCAAAAGTCCAATGACCAATGTGAAAAGTGGCAACAAGACCAGCAGACCTGCAATAAAGACTATAAGAATGTTATAATTTGATCGATGGTGGGTGCATCGTGCTATGCCAATCAGGCCAATTAGATTTTAGGAATCGCTGGACCTCTCGCCATGTAGAATGATTCACAAACCACTGATCAGATACAGATTTCTTCGTCAAGTCTATGCATCTGGAACAAACTGATTAAATATTTCGATACACAATGCGGCAATGCGGATGTAACCTAATTGAACTGGAGACCAGATTACAATATTTAAATCTTTCGTATACAACAAAGAACACGAACAAAAAAACAAAGGGCGACGCAAAGATTGGGAAAATAGGCAAAACCAAGAAAAAGGTTTATAACCAGTGCTTGTGCCCATTCACTCACACTCGCACAAGTGACTAAAAAGACTTACGACAATTTTACTGAAGAGGAAGAATGAAGTGATTGAGCACGATACATAAGCAAGATAAAATAAAATTCACAGACACATTTTCAGCAAAATTACTCACCGATAGCTCTTCCTTTACTTATATTTAGTCTCTTTGAATGCGGTGATTTCGAAACACTTCTGCTACTAAGAGGTTCGGTCTGTTGATCGTAACCATATTGTCGCGAATCCATACCTTCCCGCAACCCTCGCCTGTACATTTTGTAAGCCAAATGCCGCAAACAAAATTGGAACGAAATAATTTAACATCTGCAGGCGGCATGCACTTTGCAGTGTAAAAGATGCAGCGTTCGGTCAGTCAGTGGGAGTGTCAGGGGCACGTCCTCCGTTTTGCCGTTGGTTCGGGGAGAAACGTGTGTATCTTCGTGAACTGCGGGGATTACCGTATTACTAGAGTATAGCCCAGTTAATTTCGTTAATTGCGACAAATGAAAAACAAGCATGAGAACCTAGTTCTGCCATCAAAAACATAGCCCTAGTAAATACAGAAATAAAGGTGCAAACCTAAAAACATTACAGAATTAAGTCTGATAAAGTAGGCAGATGAAGCTTAGGCTTTGTAATCAAATAATAGCAATAGCAGCATTATCTCTGTTGCTCTGACTACTAGACTATGTCTCTTTTCATTAATTATGATGACCCCATTTTGTATAAATAGTTCGAGAGAGAGATAAATAGCCTAGTTCGAGCTGATATATAGTATATGACTATATGAAGCAATAGGTACCGGTACCGGTATGTTAGTTTGGTAAAATCATTTCAGGCATTTTATTATACTAATTCATTACTTGCCTTATTTCTATTTCAACTTTTTGTTAAATATTTTAGATATGCCTTAAAATTTGACGATTTGAATCTCACGAAGCATGGATTTTGAAAAATTAACACAAGAGTTGAGAAGGTAAAAATATCTGTAAAAGAGTTTATAATGATGTTTGAATGGAATTCGATATATTTATTCCTAAATTCGTCTGAAAGTCTTTTTCAATATTATGAATCATTTGTATTGTTCTTATTTTTCAAAAAACAACAAATTACCATATTATGTGATAAAATTTTAATTTTTTCAACTCTGAATTTGTTGCGCAAATCCTTTTTAACATCGTGTAAAATGATTTTCTCTGTGATTCCTTAATAAAATTAAACTTTTCCCGGGCAAGCAATAAATTGTTGGATTAAATCTTAATGAGGGTAAGCAATGAATTGTTGGATAAAATCTCGATGGGGGTAAGCAATAAATTGTTGGATAAAATCTTGATGGGGTAAGCAATAAATTGTTGGGTAAAATCTTGATGGGGGTAAGCAATAAATTGTTGGATAAAATCTTGATGGGGGTAAGCAATAAATTGTTGGATAAAATCTTGATGGGGGTAAGCAATAAATTGTTGGATAAAATCTTGATGGGGTAAGCAATAAATTGTTGGATAAAATCTTGATGGGGTAAGCAATAAATTGTTGGATAAAATCTTGATGGGGTAAGCAATAAATTGTTGGATAAAATCTTGATGGGGGTAAGCAATAAATTGTTGGATAAAATCTTGATGGGGTAAGCAATAAATTGTTGGTAAAATCTTGATGGGGTAAGCAATAAATTGTTGGTAAAATCTTGATGGGGTAAGCAATAAATTGTTGGATAAAATCTTGATGGGGGTAAGCAATAAATTGTTGGATAAAATCTTGATGGGGGTAAGCAATAAATTGTTGGATAAAATCTTGATGGGGGTAAGCAATAAATTGGGATAAAATCTTCATGGGGGTAAGCAATAAATTGTTGGATAAAATCTTGATGGGGTAAGCAATAAATTGTTGGATAAAATCTTGATGGGGGTAAGCAATAAATTGTTGGTAAAATCTTGATGGGGGTAAGCAATAAATTGTTGGATAAAATCTTGATGGGGTAAGCAATAAATTGTTGGATAAATCTTGATGGGGGTAAGCAATAAATTGTTGGATAAAATCTTGATGGGGTAAGCAATAAATTGTTGGGTAAAATCTTGATGGGGTAAGCAATAAATTGGGTAAAATTTGATGGGTAAGCAATAAATTGTTGGATAAAATCTTGATGGGGGTGAGCAATAAATTGTTGGGTAAAATCTTGATGGGGGTAAGCAATAAATTGTTGGATAAAATCTTGATGGGGGTGAGCAATAAATTGTTGGTTAAAATCTTGACGGGGGTAAGCAATAAATTGTTGGATAAAATGTTGATAGGGTAAGCAATAAATTGTTGGGTAAAGTCTTGATGGGGGTAAGCAATAACTTGTTGGGTAAAATCTTGATGGGGGTAAGCAATAAATTGTTGAGTAAAGTCTTGATGGGGGAAAGCAATAAATTGTTGGATAAAATGTTGATGGGGTAAGCAATAAATAGTTGGGTAAAGTCTTAATGGGGGGTAAGCAATAGATATGTGTCTGAGTAGAATCGGAGCATCAGCTGCATATTGTACAAATATTGCTCAAGCTTTTGTTATCATTATTTTGGCCAATGAAATTTGTTGTTGTTTGTCACAGTGCTTTGAAAAGAGCAGATTCTTCCACAGAACAAGCCCGGATTCTTCTGCCATCTTCTTGTTTATCACCAGATGATGATAATTGGCAGACAACAATCCTAAATATCATTTTTAAGCATCCACATCATGTTAAATCTATGCACAGGGTTTTAAAAGTGAGAATTTTTTTTTATTATAATTGTGTTATATTTCTGAAGCAATTGATATCTGGCATTGTGAGATCTTGATTTGGTAAAAGCATGAAATTCAATGGTAAAACTTGGTTAAAAGTGTTTAGTACTTTGTAATAAGAAGTAATCTTAGCAATATGGAAATATCCGATAAGAACATATCCAGTGTTGATATTGTCCTGGGTGTGATTTCTACATACACATAAATCAATAGACATGAAAGCGCTTTAAAACAATATCTGGGAATTTCAACGGAAATGATTTAAACAATATATATCAAAATATATTAATATGATTCAAAATAATATTTTGTTCAGAAAACTATTACTGTTCTTCACAATCTCTCTGCAGAAAAATTGCAAATAAAACTGACCCAAACTTTAAAGAATTTATTTTCCAAAAACGACAATTTTGGTAAGTTTAAGAACCCAACTCTTTGTAGCTAGATATTACTCTTTTCACCGTCGAAATACATGAATTTTTAACAATTCACTTGTTATATTACACATGCTTCAAAATTCATTGATCCATCATTTGATTAGTCTTATCGACTTTCCTCTCTTTTTAAGATACATGTAAAATTTAGTATTTTTCATAAATGTCCGATATAGTCAAATAATGGCAACATTATGTCTGATCAAATGTCGCCAATGCAGTGAATGGTTCAACTTCCTTTATTGCTTTTAGAATAATTGTTTTTCTTGTTTATTAAAATATAATAACCGGTACCTGTGGCATTTTGAGTCATCTTAGATTTGGATAAATCCTATTCCTCTTTTTGGAAAAGTCTACGTGATATTTTTCTGTAGTGATATTATGTTAAAAAAATTTATTTTAGATTTCTATTTTCCATTCTTGTCTATATCATTTCTTATTGAGGATTGTGCTTTTTCTCGAAAACTTCTTTCATCGTATTTGGTTACAATTATTGAACATGCAAACCATGTCATCAAAGAATCATTATTCAAGGATCTTGTTGAATATACGAGTAAGAATAATGAGCATTTATGTGATGTCATAAAAACGATACTTCAGGTACATTTTTACTTTTCTATTTGTAAGTTTGCAAAAAGGCCTTAGTTTTTCCTGTGATTAAACCTTTCATATAAATATTGATCAAATTATCGATTTCGTTATTTAAAAGTTGTTGTGATTCGATTCTGACAGAATTTTAACTGATTATGTTTATTTTGAACTTTTAAGGTGATACAATTTATGAAAGCAGATGTCACTAGCTATTTTACCATATCCTCAAATGAAGCAATCTTAATGCAATTATTAGAAATAGTTAACAACTGTGTAGTAATTTTACAAGAAAACAAGGTAAGTGTGAGCTAAATTTGAAATATAGCATAAATATTTTATTATACTATTCATTGTCTACGTTTTAACAAGGCCCTCGAAAAGTACCTGTTTATATATGTGAACTACTATGTTTTGAGAACTGGTTTTGTACAGCCCACCAAATTTATTTTACTCTGGATGAAGTGCTGATAACTAGTGGTAAGGCGGAGTATAATCATTTCAACTGAAGATCGATCCTCATGCCCATAAACAGTTTTAACTGTTTAATTTATGTATTCAGAACTGAATTTAAAAGTGCACCCCTTGCTTCGATTCTTTTTTGCAAGATGATTTATGGTAATCCTCCACTTCCTAATTTGTGATATGGCGCGATGTGCTGAGCATGAGGAATACGCTTGCCATCACACCTCTCTGGTTACCTTGTCGGGTTTGCAGGTTCGAATCCTCTGGTAGGATAATTATATGCAAGGGAATTACTGGTATCTTCGCCGCATAGGGTGGTCCACTGGTCGAACGAATTCCTCAATTGTCAAGTATATGCATCTGAAACGAATAACTGACCAACTAATCTCATTATCTGACATGATCTGGTAACGTGATAAAAGAGCCGTTGCCTGCCATATGATTAAGTCGTCTTATCGGTTTCCACTCTGCCAGGATAAATATGTAAATCGTATCCTGTCTTTATATTTGACAGAAATACACTTCTTCTCTGTGTAATATGTGTAGCATTTTTATCGGTCATGTATTGAATTATGATTCTGATGATTACAATATTGCTGCCACAATGTGTTTACTCTTGGACTCCAGTGTTGAATCATTCCCCAAGGTACATATGCTTTAATTTAATACTTTATAAGTAGGATTTTGATTTGACCCACAATAGAGATCAGTGATGTGTCATAGAATCTAGAATCTATTTCTAACATTTAATTAACCATTAGATAAACTTGCACTGTATAGTATTGACAAATTCTCCAGAGTGAGGTAAAATTTTGTTAATAATGCATGTGAATGCACATTGAGGATGAGAGATATCCTTGTTGAAGTTTTTATTATAAGCTCAAGAGAAATTGTTTATATCATGCATTGTTATTGGGTTTTGAGAAAGACCAGAATCATTCTGATAAATAGTCTACATACACCTTGAGATAAGGGACTGCGCCCTTTATATTTTAACCTGAAGTATTAAACTTACAATACTAACATTGTTCCACACATCACACATTATAAATTTCACCAAAAATCAATCAATCTCAATGATGAAAATTCTCAGGGAAATTATTTGAATTTTATTCACAGACATGGATCAACATTCAGTGTTTTATTCAATATTCTCCTTGTTTTAGCCACAACATCCATTCTCTTCCATTGCTGTGTCAAGGAGTTTGCAATCTTCCGTCGATAGTTTTACAGTTTTCAGGATATTTCTACTGAAAGGTTTATTTTCCTGCACAAGACCGGCTGCGTTCTTTAAGGGTTTAAATATAAAAGCCTGCCCTACTTTTATGCATTTCTCTTTCAACTTGGTCTGCTCAGGAATCGAACTTATTGGAGAATCACAGTATCATGCATTCCTAGGTAACTAACTTTTTTATTATTATTTTCTATTTTTTTTACAAAAAAATCCAGTTTGTTTGTTATAATAAAGTTCAGATGTCTGTTTGGTGAAATTTGTCTTCAAAGTGGAATTATGACTTGTGTCCTGCATTATGAAGTGTACAATTGACCTATGTACAATATTGAAAATTACCGAACTCACAGAATTTCTGGCGCTATTCATACCAAGATGACGCACAACCTGAACAACCCTACCATGGTACACACACTATGTTCAGGTTTTGCGCCATCTTGGTACGAATACTTCGGGAGCATCGAATTTTTGACATAAAGTGTGCAAGTGTATTGATTCTCTTGCTAGATTATTGTTGTTGAAATAATATTCAAAATATACCTGTGAGCTGTGACCCTTTGCTTTACTCCAAACCTTGCTGGTGTTCACAAAAATGTGTGCAATGTGTTGTTTCATTGCTTGATTTTGATGAGGAGGTGCTCAATAAATAACAGATGTTTAGCAATAGATATTTTTAGAATATTCATTTTACATAATTGGTTTTTACAATTTATATACAGATTATTGCTTTACATTTACACATTACAGCATTGAAACACTGGTGGTGCAAAGTACAAAGTTATTTCAAATCGGGAGAAGCGTCATCACTCAAAGATATTGTTGATGAAAATGGAGATTTTTTTCAAAATACTTTGAAGATACTTTTTAAGCATTGGGATAATCCAGTATGTTTTTCTATATCTCCTTTCTGTTTACAAACAGATTGCAAACAAACACTATTACACGAGACACTTGGATGATGTATCCATGTTTTTGTGTGTAGTACTTTTTGACACAAGCTATTAGCAGAGTTGGCCCAATTTGAGTATTCTATTATTCCAATTACATTCTAAAACAATAATTTAGAACAAGGAATATCAAATTTATTCTAAATTAGATCATATTTAAAAAAAAGGAAGGCATAGATTCTGAACTATTCTAATTTTTAATACCATGAATTGATTGAGTAAAAAGTCCAAAATCACTTTTTGTAAATTTATTATTATTGGATTGATTTCTGCACATCCAATAATCAACTCTACATCCAATTCAAAGCTTTACCTAAGTGTTATATCTTTTTACTCTTTTTCTAGATTTCAGGTGTTCCAGCAGTTGTTGTAGATATATTTAAGATGTTGATTCAGATAAACAAATCGGATCATCAAAGATCAGGAACTATTAAAACAGAACCAACTACATTTGTTGAAACGACCTTTGATGATTTAATAAAAATGTCATCATCTGTGAAAGGAAAATATAACTTTATAACAGTCTTAGTTTCTGAAATTGGTGGTGACTTTTTGGTCAGAAAATATCCAGAATTTTTGATAGAACTTATACCATTGCTTGGTATCAATCACCTGTGTCCTGCTGTTTCGAAGACATACAAAATGGTTATCATTACAAGTTTGAAAAGATTGGACAAAGAAAGACTCACAACCTTTTGGATTGAATCATTGCTACCCGGATTAATGTATGCATTAGTCAATTCAAATCCAACGATCCGACTAAATGCTTTAAAATTGTGGTTGCCCATTCATATCAAATTAGTTCCTGGTGCTTATAACAGACTGGTAGAAGCTGTGAATAAACATTTTTGTGGCTCGAACAGTAAAATGTGTTCTGGTATTAAGTTGCTGGCTCTCGTTTCTATCACCAAAGTCGCCAAATCTGAAAATGTCATATCTTTTTCTGATGTTGATGAAGAATTGATGCGTTTGTCTTTGTCAAGTTTTAATGTTAGTATTTTTGATGTCTTTGGTTGAATATTGCTTTGATTACTGGTATATATGATTAGTGATTTCCTTTGAACTTCGAACAACAAAACTATTCGAAAAATCTGCTATTCAAGAATTCAATAGATTAAATAAAATATTTTATTTTTTTGAACCTTTTTGGTAGACGGGAACCCCAATGAGTAAGTAAACCCTGTTCATTTCTTGTAAGGCTGTAAAAAAGATTGTATAAACTATAAATATACATAAAGCAAGCCGAATCAAATGGACTGGCAAATCAAAATGATCTTTGAATTGTAGAACTTCAATAATAGTGCAAATCTAATAGGTATTTGATTATATTTATTTTGAATGAAACTTGTGGACCCCTGAACTTTTCTGGTGGAATCTTGGTTGAAAAAACAGTGAATTAGATATTCAAAACTACTTAATTTTTCTGTATGATTTGCTTTTTTGTAATTAAAATCTATATTAATGACAGTTGACAATAAGAGGCCTTAAAAACTGGTACGAAATTATTTTTAGGATGATGTCAGATTAGAGGCATTTCACTTGGTCCTGTTTTCAATAATCGAACATCTGAAATTATTTCAACGCTTGAGATGGAGTTGATTAAAACATATTTGCCGATGAATATGACATGGATTCACCTACGTTTCGGCAACGACTTGTTTACTGTTTACGATTATTCTTTGAGAGAAATCAAAGACAGTGTCCTGGCTGTTAAAAAAGTAAAGAATGTTTTAGTTAATTTTGATTTCATACAAAGCTGGTTTATCAGTCAGTGAAACAAACTCTCACCCTTTTCTACTAAAACAGTTATTCTACACACGAGTTCACCAGATCTGCGGAATAGATCTTAAACAATGACTGCCATGACTGAATTCAATTTGTTTTCACAAAAAACAATATGAAGTCAAATTAACATAACATTGATTATTTTGAAATTTTTTCTGTTGTTTTAAATCATGTGAGTTCTAAAATTCAGAAACTTGTAACATTTCTTGTAGATCATGTTCCTTTTTGAAGTTAGCATGTTATTTTTTCCTGTTACAGACATTGGATAAACAGGATTCTGATCAATATATTAATATGTGTGAAGAAATGTTGACATTCAGTATGGAGTTATTCATCAAATCACTTCATGTCTCATTTACATTTCAAAGAAAGAAAACAGCAATGGATATTTTTCCTACATTGTTAACAACATTTCATCCTCATTTTGAGACAATACCGTTTTCCAAGGTGGGTACCAAGCATATTTTATGCAGCTCCTCATTATCAACGAGAAAGGCAAAAATAAGGCTGAAAAAAAATTTCTAGTAGAAACTTAATAATTATGTGCTAGTATGAATTTTATATTATTTATTTTCAGGTTTTGGTGCAACCAGAAAACAGAACTGTTTTATTCAAACTTTTATTGGATCAAATTCCTGAAATAAAGAGTCAAAGCCTTCATCTGTTGATGAAATACTTTTCATACCCGAGTGAAGAATTCATACAAAAAGCATTGAAACAAAGTACTAACTTATGCCGTTCACCCAAGTCTTATGAAAATGAAGGTGGAGCTATGATTTTAGAATTTATCATTGGTGGAAAATTACAAAACAAGGCTTCAAAGGAAGATCTAGAATTTGCAATGGATTTGATTAATGATATTGCAATAAAATTAAAGGAAGATGCAAACAAGCTGAAGTTTGATGTATTAAAAGCATCTTGTCAAGGTCCTACTCACGGCTGGTTGCTAGCGTTGGATAAATGCTTCCTTTCTCCTTATTGCAAAATAGTAACTGGAAATATGTACAAATATAAGTCAGACTTGATTGAATCTTTTTCATTATTAACAATAGATCTGATTGAGTTTATTTTGACATCAATATTCAGTTCTGGTTTTTATAATGCTGAGGTTGAATCTGATGAAAATCAGGAGAACGATTTCAGTGCATCAGCTGATTTCTGTGAAATGACAAAAAAAATTGAAAGTTTAATAATAAACACACAGTTAAGTTGATGTAAAAAATGTGTTATTAACAGAAAAACCATGAAGCAATATTAGTTGCTGTTGGCTTTGTCTACTTCGTGGGAGTTCTCTTTTATCCACTATAGCTATATCATTAGCAAAAACTCAAAACAATGAGAAAATTTTATCAGAAATTTGTAATACTCATGTTCATATACTGTCAAGTTGTCGTCATCGAGGAGCGATTGAAGGCTGCTTTGAGTCTTTTTCAATTGTTTGTGAATGTCTGCTGTCATCACCATTCATTGAATATCAGAATATTATTACTGTTATTCTTGAAAAAGTTATTTTAATTTTAAACACTAACACAAAGAGAGAAAGTACTGTCACTAGAAGATCTGCAGGAAATACCACTAATTATTGAAGCCACATTGGTGGCAGAAATATCTTGCAAACGAGATGGATTATTCCATAAACTGTGAGAAGTATGATAAAATTGTCACGACAAGTTTGTGAACTGCAGCCTCAAAAGATTAATGAATTATTTGATGTTCCCCAAGTACATGGATTATATGTTTTGAGACACTTATTTAGGAAATTCAAAATTTTCTTCTCATATGATTACCATATTGTGTTGATATTTTTCAAATTGCAATCAATTGTATGTCTTCTTCCAATATGGGTAGTTAGAAATGCTGCGACACATTTACTTGGTGCTGTATCAAGTCAAATGCTTGGACAAAAACATATCGATGGTACTAATATACAAAGTTTACAAAATTCATTATCTGCTTTTGAGTTTTTCTCCCAATTCCCAAATTTGTATGACTTCATTGTTGAAGAGTTGGAGCTGTCATTAATACCCATAAATGAAAAACTTACTATACCAAAACCTGGACTTCATCCGATTCTGTGTATCCTATCTAAGCTTACTTACAGTAAGCATGCTGTTAAAAACTATTCCAATCTGTTGACCGTGTTGAAAAAATTGCTCGGATCTTTTGTTTATTCTATAAGGCATCTAGCTGCTGAGTCTATTATGGGGCTGGAAAATGAAACAGTACTTCAGAATCAAATTATAGACTTTTTGAAGACATTGCCCGTAAGCTTAGAAGGTGAGAATTTGATTTTGACATTGTTATTTGAAGGCTAAACTACGATAATTCCAATAGTTTTTTTTATCTGGCGAAACAGGTGTAACTTCGAACCCGTGCACCAATGTTTTATCATTTATCGAACATTGTTATAATTGTGGTATGTAGAAATAAGATGATAATTTTAAACATTACGGTAATTAATATGCCTCAATTTCAGTAACCTTGTGAACATTTCAGTTTCATGGTTGAAGTTGGCAATGCTATTTTCTTGATTTTAATATACTTTTAAGACTACTGAGTTCTGGCTTGTTCAAAGTTTTTGCAATTTGATATCATCAATACCCAGTGTTTCCTTTTATTTTGATTAAAAAGTTCATCAGAATATTTCTTTCCTGTGAAATATATTTTAATATGGGTATACTTTTGGATAGGCTTTTAATTACCTCGCTATACTTCTATTCCAGGTGTCAATCTCGATTTCAATCTAATTCATGGGCAGTTGATCCTCGCTTATCACAATACGAAGATATCTCATTTAAATGCTGACTTATCATTATATATGGAATTGATGAAAAGGCCTTGGTTGTGGTGTATTACTGATACTCCTTTTATTGCAACCACATGCTTAGAGATTCTTAGATGCTTCGGGGATCAGCTAAGAAAAGATTCTCAATTTTTGTCGCTATCTAAACAACAGATTCTACTAAATTTAAACTGTTGTTGCGAGAATGTTGCTCAAAAGGTTTTCATTTGTAATATTTGTATTTATTTTGAGGACATAATCTGGTGATATTACCATATATGGAATGGCACATTTGTTATTGAGTAAATGCAAACTTAGCACCCTGATCAATAATGTCCACAGAAATGTATTGGAACGAAATGAAATGAACAAGTGATCCCGGTTAGTTCAGTGGGTAGAGTGTTGGTCAAGGGTTTAAGTCTTTTATCGGACATCGGTTTGGGAAACAAATTGAAAAGAACATTCAATTCCTTTTGCATTCTGCATAAACATCAAGTCGTATGTTATCAACCTATATTTCTGATAAGTACTTCAGTTGATACAAATTTGATGGCCATAAATGCTGATAGTTTTGTATCTACAGTTTAGTATATACACTACCTCTGAGTCCCTATTTTGTTATCGAAATTTTCATTTCCTTTCATTAAAACAACCTTTTATTTCTTCAATTTAGCCAGGATTGGATTTATACTTGGATGCTCTAATTCCACTTATATTTGATCTTTCTGAAGATGACAGGGATGTCACAACAACGTTTTCCAAGTATTTATTCAGCGATAATGTTTCTGTTCAAAAGTCTACATTGAAATGGTTGAATTTTCAACACTCAGACCACTTGAGGAAAGAACTTTTTGGATTAATCACAGAATTTATTTTGCAAATCCGAAACGATTTTCTACAGAGTAATACATCTGTATTGAAGGCATGTATGGATTGCTGGATCACAATGAACCTCCCGTGCACAAATTTTGCTAGCAATAAAAAAATATGTCAACTTCTTCACACTATTTTAACATCACCATTAGCAGCCCTCTCTCTCAAATGTACAGCTTTGAAAATGTTATCTTCACTGTCTGTTGCACTTTTAAATACAAAAAATACGGTTGAAAACATGACAACAACGAAAAGAGAATTTACTGGAAAAATAATCATACACTGGGCAGAATATATTGAAGATCACGCCTCTCATGTGAGAGCATCAGAACCTTTGAGATTATCAGCAGCACAATCACTGGAAATTGCAGGACCGACTATATTTCGACATATCTTACTAGAGAATACACAGGATTTGGTATTGCATATGTTGATTGATGTGACTGAAAGACCATGCATTTATGTACAATGCCATTAGCTACAATAGTATATTTTCATGTTATTTCTACTTTTTTTTAAGAAGTATAATATTAATTGAATGTAAGTTATCTAATCATCAAGCAAAAATGTTGATTTTTGCATCATTACATTATTCATTTTGTTGCAGAAAGATGGAAAAAACAAAGTAGTCCAAATCCTGATAAATGTGTCTCTATCACTATTACACGATGAACAACCAGATATTCGCGAACCTTTGTGCCGTTTCATATCAGAAGTTTGCAATAATGGGAGACATGAATTGTACATTCATCATCAGAATGTTTTATCGAAGGTATTTTTTTGGAAAATTTATTAACAAATTGAACTCCAAAGAACATTCCAAAGCAGTGGCCCTTAAATGGTGGCGGGTGCATCACTAGGCGGTCGTAGACAATTTTTCAGGAGGGCATGAAGCCAATTAAAAATAAAAATATCTGTTAGATTTGATATTTCCCACCCTATTTTGGATATTTACATTCTATTCATGTATTTTCAACATGTTTTTTGAATAAAACATATCTTTGCCTTGCTTTCTGTTTTTTGTAGCTTATTTCTTAGCTACAGAGAGTTATTTTTGAGGTGGGTGACTTGACAAATTCTAAGACTGTTCTAAAGTATTTTGGAATCTAAATGTATTTATTTATCCTCATATTCATTTAAGAATCCAAAATGCCAAAACTATGTTCATGTCGTGTCATGTAATGTGAAATTTGCTTGAAATTTATAGCTTTGTCCTCAAATGTGACAAAGATAATTTTTTGCATAATAAGTAACGTACGAATATTAGGTTCAAAAGAGTCGCAGCAAAATTATTATGGTAATTCAAATTATTTCGATTTGGGAGCTTGTTTCTTGGAGATGTGTAGTAAATAAACTATTAGTTATGATAGATTAATTTTATTATACAAGTGCGATATACAGAAAAGGTTTGAATAAAATATAGCAATAATCCGCCACTTATATTTTAAAGGCATTCTTGAAATTCATATTGGAAAATTTTGCATCAAATTTTGAAGTTCTTGACACTTTAATTAAGCATTGTTTTGGAATTGGCCAACTTGATGTTTTGAATAGGTAAGTATTTGTATGTATAGTACGTATAATAAGAAAGCAATATCAAAATATGTGCCACTGTGTTTCTGCTTGCAAAAGACAAAGCAAGGGCAATGTTATAAACTAGGCCACAGGGTAACACAAAATGACATTCATATGACCAAATGGGTTATCGGTAATTTTTTTCAAAGAATAATTTAAGTTGTCATTTAATCGAGTTCTGTAGGTTATTTGCAATGTTTGTTTTTGAGTAGCTCATTCATACTCGGAAAAAGGTACCGGTAGTTACTATTTATCATAGAAGTTACTTGTATGTAATAGAATTGATCGATTTAGTCATAACTGATATTTTCGCTACTCGTTTGGTTTCATCCATTTTAGCTTTTCAATTTGCGATCTGGCATAAAGGTTCGGGGACAACCCAAAAAATATTTTGGGGGTCTGTGTTAAAAAAGTTTGAGAACCCCTGAACGGGTCACTGAAAGGGATTTGTGAAAGCAAGTAGAATACGCTAGATGTTGGATTGGTGAAAAACAGCAGATGCACCATCGATATAACAGGCATTCCAAAACAATAATTTACTTGGAGCAGACAGCAGATGTTATTCAGCTGTCAACTTCATGTTTTCGTCCATATATACATTCTTAATGTGCAGATTTACTATTTATATAGAAAATTATTGCTATAAAGTTCTTTCCCAAGCAAAACCATTACCAAATGTTTTTTAGTGACAAGGTTTTACTTTTTGACAAAGAACCATTCAATTTATATGAAGAACCAGTAGAAATAGCAGAAGTTGCAATGAAATGTTTGTTGGTAAGTTTCAAAATCATTCCCTCTGAATGCTTATTGTTTTCATTTTGGATCAACATTTAAAATTCATTTCATTAACAAAGAAAAAGAAGTGGATGTGTACGAGTTTGGATGAAAGTGTGCTAAAATAAAGTCAAATTTGACGTTGAAAATTGATTCTACCTAATTTATTACCTCTTATACATTTATTTTTGAATTCAGTGTTTTGCAAAAGGTCAAGGTTCCTAACAGAATAATTTGAATTATATTTCTGGAGCTTCCTATAATTCAAGTACAGTGTCCGAACAGCTTTGCTTACATTTATTGTTGGCCCCATTTGATTAGTGCCAATAATAATTTTGTTGTGAACAAAGTTAATATTATGCTGTTTTTATGAACTATGTTTATGTAACAGAACTCAACACTGTCAACGCCTCAAGAAAACATGACAAAATTCATAAACTGCTTCATGGTTCACTTACCAGATGTCCTCCAAGATTTTCAAAGTAAGTAAATTTCAATCCTTCCGTCCCTACTTATTTTGTGGCTTTCAGTTATAAAGCTTCGCAAGCAGGCGTGTGAAAATATGTAGTAAATTTAAATGCATATCCTAAATCTTATTTTGAGAAATAAACATGACAAGCAAAATAGACTGCCATTATCGCATTATTCATAGTGCATCGACAGCAGAAAATAAAACTTATTCTAAAATATGAATATTTTTTTGGTGTTGTCATTTAATGATATAAGATAGATGTATTTTGTCAAATAGTTGGATTGAGAATATAATATTCTTTGACCAATAGGGTTGAAAGTGGGAAATTTTCAGCCTAGGACTAGATCATATCTAGAACTCTCTTTATCAGAATCGAGTTTGGGAGTGACAATATGTTTAACAAGTTATATGTACACTTATTGACTTTTTGTCTCTATGTGTGTGAACCCGAAAGAAAGTTAAAATAAACTTATTTTATCTCAATGCGGTGAATACAGTTGTTACTGTTTGTCGTTGTGCATATCTTAGGCTAGGTTTACTCTTAATATATATGTATGTTTCCTGTAATTGGTTAATTTGTGTTTGAACATGTAAAATTGTTATGGACAGGTACAAGAGTGAATGTCATCAAGCGTTTATGCAACATACTTTATATTAAAACAATTGTAACAATACAACAAAGATGTGGAGTCCAACAGCTAACTGGGCCAATGACAGATTTAGAAGAGATTCTTCACAAAACCTCGCAGGTGGGCTCTTGTTTTATTGAATGTGTAAAATAAAAAAACAGTTTATTACAAGTCTAATATGAATCTATAATATAAGACAACAAAGATTATTATACTCACCAGGTCAAACTGTGCACTTTGGTAGAATTAATGGTACAATAAATATTATTCTATGAATATGGCCATAACCTGTGATTTTGTCAGGGCGAAATTTATCCATGTAACTTACCACCATGATCTTTCTTGCAGAGAGACACCAATCAACACAAAAGACTGACAGATGAAATCAAGTCTGTTTTATTATTGATAAAAAGTCACAGCAACTAAGATGGAGCTTTATTAAATTTCTGGATATTATGGTCGAAATTATTATCTCACTTTAGTCGAAGCGTGGCATTTCTGCTAGTATTTACTATTTTTCGATGAACAAAAAAATATTTTTTTGAAAGATTGTGTGGTTAATTGCTTTAAAATAAAGTCGAATGTGAGGATGAATAAACGGTTTGAACCCTTTGTGCAATAAGCTTGTGTAAAAATATGATGTTTTCACAAACATGTTTCTATCAACTTAGCTCTCATTATTAACTGCCATCTGTTGCTATGTAGTGTTATTTGATACTCCTGTTCTCTATGACAAAGTTATCTTATAACAGAGCAAGCGGCCTGCCTGCAGATGAGCGAAGTGAAAAGCTGACGCTCGTTAGGGGGTGGATGGATGCACGCGGGTTGCTGCGCCGGATGAATGGCGGCAATAATTCCATCCGAATCTTAGTTTTCTATGATGCCAAAATCGTTAGCATATATTCCCAACCAAAAAGATAGAAAGCCAGATAACAATTTAGACTGCCAAGCAAATCATTCGACCTCGCCATAACACCAGTCAATTCAGTGACATTAGTGATGTAACTGTATGTCAAAAGATTTTTGTGGTTTATGTTAACAACACCAAATGAGATTTTTTGATTACGGTACTTTTCGAATGCAACGTGGGCCACAAATAATGGAGCCACAGGCCACGTTTGGACCACCCTGGTTTGGATATTCGCAATTTGAAACCATGAAATCTCACAAACTAAATTTTATTGTGTATTGCTTGTTTCTTATAATTCTGTTCGTCTGCCATCCACTATTTTGCAGTGTTGGAGATTGATCTTACTATGTACGGTCTTATTTTCTCTAATATCCTTTGCTAATCCATCCTAGTAATACGTAAACCAGTGACTCACAAACAGATATTTTACAAAATATATTTACTCATATGAATTGAAACTTACAAAAAAACAGGCAACAGCTACTATAAAATATTTTAAATAAAATTGTTTCTATTTAAAATGAAGGGTTTCCAAATCCAACTTTCTTTTGCATCAGATGAATTTCATGAATCAAATCTTCATCTTTTAATTTTAAATTCATCGCATATTTATAAGATTGTTCAGCTTCAAGTTTTCTTTCAGTCTTAAACAAAGTAAACAAGATTAAGTAAAGACGTGATATCATGAAGGTGAGGTCACTGAAAACATAGACCTCAATTTTAGCAGGAAATTTTGAGCATCAAAGAATATGTTGCAGAATATAGTGTTGTCCCAGGGTAAATAATCAAATGTCAAAATTATGAAAACCTGAAATCTTGTGTACAATAAGAACTTGACACTATAAAAATGAACTTTTCTATTAGTTGTAATAGTAAACTGTATGTGATTTTAAACAGCTGGTAATCTCTAGTTGAAATATATGCCTTTGAAAATCAAGATTGCATAACAAACCTGTAAACAAACAAGAGATAAATATGCCCAAACTTCAGGATTGCTATTGTTCAATAAATTTGCTTCAGCTAATGCATCTTCAGATTCTGATAGTTCATTCAACTTTGAAAGAAATGAAGTTAAAAATGCACATATTCCATGAATATTAATTACAATGGACTATGTTTGTCCAAGCTTTCTCTTTTCCAATTTACCAGGCGGAATTTTGGTTGATCTGCTGTATGAGATGGTATTTCTCATACATACTCTTATCTATAACGATTCTTGTTTATAAATGAAATTCCTATGTTAAAAATTTCAGAGAGCGCCGAGTTGAATCCCCTTATAACAATTAATCAAATATGATCAATAATGGTGAATCGGCTGGTAACAAAAAAATATGAAATTTATAAAAGTAGCAATTATGAAATTTATTCATGCCATGTTTTTTTTGAAATTCAAAATATAATTTTCTTACCCGATAACATGCAATTCCCACTCCGAGCCATGAAACACACGATGGAGAATATTTGCAAGCAAGTAGGAAGGTTTCTTTTGCTTTCAAGTACTGAAAGTCAATATTAATTGAAGCTTTAGATACACTAGTGTAAAAAAGGACTAAAATATTTGGAACTCCAGAAGTATGTGCACCAAGATGGCGCATATCCTGAACATAGTATGTGTACCAGGTTCAGGTTGTGCGCCATCTTGGTGCACATACTTCTGGAGCGCAAAATATTTTATATATCCCTTGAAAATGCCTTAGAAAATAAAGGTTCTTAATGCATTGCAAAATATTGGCTTATTTATTAAGACTGTGTGCCTCTGCAGGGTCATCTGCCCAGAAGTGCAAGATTTGAGAGAACAAGTCTTGACTGTTATCTAATAATTTTAGGCAAATAATTATGAATCACTGGTATCAACCAGGATGCTAATTCAGATAAAACGAGTAAAACAAGACTGGACTTTATAATATAATAATAATACAGCAATAAACAAAAATAGTTGCAGTCAACTCTGATCGGTTGCCCTGAAAGATGCACATAGTACTTAAATAATCTTATTACAAGTCTAATTACAATACTTAATTAAATTAGTCATTCATCAATACCTCTTCTTCCATGATATAAATAGTTCCAAGTCTCAAATATATTGCATGCATTTCTGAGGCATCAGCAATGAATGCGAGTGTTCGTTCATAACAATCTCTTGCTGAAGGTAAGTTGCCAGTCACATAATGAAGGTGACCAGTGATAGCCCAAGCATCAGGATGCTGTAAAACATACCATGAAGTAAGAAAAGTGAATAAACTTTAAATAGAATTGCTAATAAAAAAAATTCAATCCTGGAATTCGTTTCAATATGATATTGTCCTGATACTGTATATTACATAGCTTAGGAGTCATAGGTGCCCAATGATCTGCAAAATATAAATAACCACCATACCACAAAAGAGGTAATAAATTCAATAGATTATGCTTGATTGAACAGAGTCATATGGGAATGAATGTGATTGTGAATGAAATTTGTTGGAATATAATTTCATTGTAGGATACCGCAGATTACATGCTCAACAAAAATCAGATGTGATTAATGAAGAAACTGTGCAGAATTAAATTTGCGAGAAAACTACATATCTTTTCATGAATTTGGATAAATCAAGATCCATTCGATTACTCAAAATCAAATAGATTTGCAAAATAAAAGAAGAGAATACATGGAAAAAGTTCTGGCTACTCGATTGTGTTATGAATAATAAAATTGATAAAACCGAAACGAGATAGCGATCGGAGACCGCCGACTTATCGATATTCCGCACGTTCAATATTTTACTCGACAATTTTGGCGGAGTACGATTTCACATGACTTATTCTCGTACATTGTGCTTTATTGGTTGGCCACATTCTGAATAATTTATTCTGCTGAAACACACACAACTGGATCGTTTTGATCAGTTTTCAGCCAATTAACCACCGAAAATGGCTAACGCCAACTATCCTATATTTTGTGTCAAGTACAACGGCGCTAACCGCAATTGCGACGGCTATTCAACCACAGCCAAGCGATATTTTGGTGAAGAATTAGATTTGGTTTCAGCCAATAGCCTATGCCATAGGCCCTATGGCGAACATCGACTATCCTATAGCTCTATAGTTTGTGTCAAGTGCAAAGATAGTATACGACGGATGCGAGACTATCCTATAGCCTCATAGTTTGTGTCAAATACAAAGATAGAATATGAAGGATGGTTCCAATTGTATCCGAATTGGCTTTATACAACTATTCCATTTCAGTGATGTCGAAGCGGCGTGTAACCAAAATATCTAATCGCAGACAGAGCAATGTTACGCGCACACACACACACAATCGTACGAAAAAGGGGATCCCCCAAAACTTAAAATCGATAAGTAATAATACACCTTCCAAGTTTCTAATTCCACTTCTGGGAATAATATATTCTTCTACTCTACATACCTGATGATCGATACGAGTCGCATGGTTGAGGTTCTCCTCAGCTTGGGTATATTCCTTTCTCATCATATGCAGTCGAGCGAGTGCAACATGATATTCTGCACTCGGACCTCCAAGAGGATCAAGCAATTCGTGTGACAGTGCAATTTCAGCAAACTTAAAATATGAAACATTGATTTGAAATGTTTTTAATATTACAGAACAAAGATTCAAACACCAGCTGAAACCGTGATTCCTGCACTGACTTTTTCATGCCATAATTCTGAACCAGGCTTTGTATAAGCAGCAACTCACACATAAGGAGCTACTAATGATGGTAGGATCAAAATCTTAGCGGTTAGGCATTGCCTATCCAATTTATTACAGTCTGGTTGGGGTGGTGGGAATGGGCTTTGTCTGAGACACACACACACATACTATCTTCATCTACAATTAAGTTTTGTGAGATTAGCTTATTCGTCACACATAGAAAACATTTGACCAAGGTATTATTATGCAGTTCAAAAAGCATTTTTTTGTAGCAGTATTTTTTACTACAAAAAGAGTGTTTTGAATCCCAAAAATATAGATATAAAGTATTTGAATTTGGTGAAAAAGCCAGTCACTAGTTACATAACTGACCTTTAATGCCTTCATATCCAACAACCATTCAGATGTTCGCAGGAAAATGCTCTTCATTCTTGATGCAGCAGATTCATCTTTCAAAGGTGACTGTGGTTTCTGATCATTTGGTAAAATTTCTTTTGATGAAGTGCTGTTTTCTGCTGAACTTTTTATTCTTCCTGGGCCATCTATGGACAATGGTTTAGTTTCAGCTATATATCATATACAACTTCCACAAAGTAAAACCATAGGATCAAAAGTAAACAATAACCTTCAAAGCATGGACAGCAAGTTTCAATAAACAAAGTATAAAACGACTGTTCTAGAAATAGAAATAAATGCAACAATGTATATTTTCATTATAAAAAACTATTTTCGGTTTGAATATAATAGATTAGTAAACATCAGAAAATAGCAGTGCCCCTGTTGTTTACAAAGTACCAATTACATAATGTTGTTTATATATCTCAGATGTTTCCTCAGAGGAGGCAATAATATTAATTAATAAATTCGTAGTATATAGGTTTAGAGATGCAAAACCAAAAAATATATACTGATTGGAATCAAATGTTATCAATAACTAGAAGTAATAACATAGCAACAATACCAAGGTAATTATTTTATGTTTGCATCTGATTAGTTATGCTTAAACAAGGAAGCTAAATCATTCCCATGTTTCCTTCCACACAGCTCTCCTTCCGTGGAAAATTTCCTTCCTAAATTTTCTAGGTAGGATTTACTGAACAACCATGTTTTAGCATATTCATTAATTCTAATATATTCATACCTCGTTTCCCAGTTTTGTTTCCTTTAGTTGTAGAAGCAGATTTCACAGAACCTGATGACTGCTTCACTGCACCAGCGCTTGGTGGTAACAGAGATGATGTTACTGTTTCAAGATCTCCTTTGCTTGGCAATTGATCTGGTGAAATAAATTCATTCACACAGAAATTTGTCAATAAATATGTATATTTATATAGAAAGCGCTTGTTGTCTTCCAAGTATACCAAAGTTATATAGATATGGTTTGTCATGTGTTAATACACTTAGTTAGCTTCTATGTAGATAATATCTTATATATTTGGTGGGGTAAGAGAGAGCAAGGTGATGCATAGACATTATCAAAATATCATGACAAAACAACAGAAGATTACTGAACTTCTCAGTTTGTGAGGGTGATGCATGCAACTGCTTGTCAGATACAGCTATCATCAGACATCTGGAATGATTAACTCTTTGCTATTCCCATGGTCTTAATTGTTAACTGCACAACTGTATGGGGTTTGCTATATAATTAAGCTTTCCTCTGAGACTGAGAAAAAATCAAAATGAAAATTTAACGAACCCATAGTATCATTTTCTTCTGCTGTGTCATGTTCTGATGAATAAGCAGTTGCATTTCTTTGTCTTGCTTCTGCATAAGAATGCTCGGCACGAATTTCATTTCCAAGATTATCATAAAACAAAGCTAGGATCGTCCAACTCAAGCAAGAAGGTAGATCAGAGCTTGAAAAAAAAAATCATATATATAAACATATAGTATTTTCAATCTCTCTAATATCAGTTATCGAAAATCAATGTGATGATCATTTTCAAAAAATCTGCAAGAACCATGGATCCCAAGAAGCCTGACAATACCATAAATGGCACTTCCATCTCAAACTAAGAAGAATTTAAAAAGAGAGTAGAAAACAGATATTTCACCTCAACAACATGGACAATAACAAAATAACCCAAAGGTTTATTCCATATCTTCTGTTAATATAGTCACTTCATGATTTCGACATGCCACAGAAATAAATATTCAAAATATGTCATTGTATCAAACTATTTTGATATGAGTTAGCTGTATTTATTACCTGTTGGAAGTTAAACCGGTCGTTCTTTCAAATACAGTTTCTGCTTCTTCTTTGTCTCCTTCCATTGCACATAATATACCATACATTAATAACCTGAAGTATAGCAAATATTAAAATTGATTTTGTTGAATAAGCAATCAGTTCAGATGTTTTCATTTAATCTAAAAAGTGCAAATGAAGATGCATAAAGAATTGTAAAAGTTGCTGAAACAGGGTCTTTTCTCATTTTGAAGAGTTGATATAGATATGTAAAATGTTTGAAAAAATAGAACATGTTATGTATGTAAATATGTACCAATATCGAGGTGACTAATTTTGTTCGCATACTTCACATCAAGTTGTATAAAGGGACTGAAACCTATGTGCAGTGGGTATATTCACTTGGCTAACACAGACAGTCCCCATGCTCGTGGAAGAACTAAAATAAGGAAAACCATAATAAAATTATGGCCCAACCCTTACCTAGTAGATATACTACGAGAGTACCCTGAAAGAATCATGTGATAGGATAGATAGGATTTTCATGTTCATTTTGAGAAAGAAAGAAGATATCCTCATCCCCAAATATCTGGTGTTAACCTACTAATTGATCCAGATATAAGAACCAGTGATTGAGAAGTATAGTCGCATCAAAATATCACCCTAATAGCTTGAATCTGCAAAGCCATGCAAATCAGTAGTTCCATAGCAACCTGGTTCCCAAAATTTAGCCCAATGCATCAATTGCAGAGCGACAAATTTTAATAAAATACATGCATTCATTGATATTTACAAGATTTCTTGAGAGTTTATATAGTATAAATTACTGATGCCTGACTTTCTAGAACATTGAAATAATAAAACTATCATGAAGTATTCTTTCAAAATATGTGTACTTTATTGTATTATTTTCAATTATAATTTTTAATACTTAACTCAACTTACCCCTTTGTGAATGTCTGGTTGATTGAAACAGATTCTTTGAAGCATTCTGCAGCTTTTGAATAATCTCCAATCAATAAATTGAAAGTTCCATAATCAAACCAATGTTCAGGATCATTTTTATCTTTTGTCAATCTTTCCTGAAGGAAACCAAACAAATATTTAAGATTTAGCAGTCATGATACGGATAAATAACTACATTTATCAAATGCAGTATCTATAAACCTAAAAACAAGCTGATTGAATATAATTTTACAAGATTTGATTTAAAATTATGACAATAAGCTATCAATTAAATAGGTATATATGCACATGTCAATGATAAGGGTTGAACAATCTAGATCAGGGTGGTCCAAGGTTGTCGGCTCCACGGGCCACAAAATTATTTTTGCATCGTTCGCGGGCCACAATAGTGCCAAGAATAGGCAAACAGTGTAATCCAAACCAACCCCTTCATTGTGCAAACACATAGTTATGAGGCATAGCCATTCTAGGCTGATAGAATCCGCATTCGATTTTCAGTTTTCTATGATGCCTATATTGTTAGCATATATTCCCGACCAAAAAGGTAGAAAGCCAGATAACAATTTGCGATGCGATTTTTTGATTACTCTTCGAATGTGACATGGGCCACAGATAATGAAGCGGCGGGCCATATGTGGCCCACAGGCCTGGGTTCGGACCACCCTGATCTAGATAAATCTGTTATGCAGGGAAATTTCGCTCAATAACTTAACATAACATTTAAATTCAACATTAATAATATCTAAAATTTCCAAAAAAGGACAATTTTCAAAACAAATTTAGATTCTTGAAAACAATTTTTGCAAATGTTACTTGTTTATATGTCATTAAATTACATACCGAAGTAGTCTGAATACTCCCAAAATAGCGACTTCGATAATCACTTGCAGGGGTGTAGCTATTTTAAAGGGGGTTCTGAAATTTCTAATTGCCAAGTTAGACTGTAACAGCTAGCGGGTACGTGGGTTTTTAAAAGTCTTAAGTGTCTGAAAAACGTTTCAAGCTACTTTTCAAAGGGGGAAGGGTTCTGACCCTCAAACCCCCCTGGCTAAGCCCCACCCCCGATCACTCAAAAGAATTTGGTAGATATAGTATAAGAATATTTCTTACTTGATAATACATTGCTGCATCATCATATTCTTCATTAACTTCAGCTTCTTGAGCAAATCTCTTCAATTGTTCCGAATCAGCAAATGATCTTGGTGATCCTTCATATTGATCACCAACCAACAATACCTGATATAATCAACAGTGTGGATATCAGAAACTTCACAACAAGACTTCAATTAAAATAGTGACACTTATGATCAATTCTATGATGACAATTATACCAATTCATCACAGTTCAAAGTTTAAACTCATTTTTAATTTTTCAGGTCAAAGATCATGTGAAGAGATAGCACAGTGAGGCGACCCAGTCAAATTACAGTACATGGACAAACTCTGTTTCAACTCTAATTAAACCCAGTATAAAGACAAAATAATCGAAGACCAAAGCGTCAAATCATTTATACCTTTTCAAGACTTTCATGCATTTCATCAATTAAATAAACATAAAGTTCACTCAGAAACTCCTGCAATTCTCCTTTGTCTGTGAATGCTGTTGTTTTCATGTATTTCTCACGAACGATTTTCACAATGGAATGCTGCAAACAAAGAAGTATAATTTCAAAAGAATTCTGTGCAGAGATAAGTAATTTCACTCAGCAGTGTTGTTACAGCAGCAGTAAGTAATGTTTATTTTTTTCTACATTGACAATAAATATTCACAAATTTTTGCAAATCAAATATTTATAGAATAGTGAGTCATTCGGTCTCCACATCGATGGTTGGATATTCAATGTCACAAAAATCAATAATCAACCGGTATCCGCATAAATATTATATTAATTCACATTGTTTCAAATCACATTGCCATATATTCCAACATGCTATGCAATTACATCAAACTATTTGTTTGTACATCAACTCACACAAACCTTAATTTGTTCTTTAAAAGCAAAATATTTTCCAGAAGAATTGAGCTTGAATAAAAGTTGTTTTCTTCTTTCTTCTTGTTTTTCTGGATTCTGAGGTTGTTCGGAATCCAATATTTCTTCACCAAACAAATTTCTGTTTATCAAGAAAAGACTAACTAGAGAAAATCTGATATACAAGGTTTTAGCATAAACAATAGGATAGATTTCATATTCATCTCAAGGAAAGTAATTTCGATTAGATGATTAATCATGATGAAATACTACCAGAAGAGAGGATCAGGACTAGTTAGATAGTTCAATTTATTAAAATTCTTTAAAGGTGTAAAAACAAAGCACTAAAAATGAATCTTTGAACAGGACTTCTGAAATTTCCTCATCAATTGCAGAAATATATTTAACATACCGCAAGTCAACGTACTAATTTGTCACAAATATGGACAAGCAAAGTTTAAATAATGTTTTCGAATAATTTTTAAAAACAGCAAACAACTCGACAACTTCTGGTATGTTTCAATAACGACATAATTTATCGCTTTCGAAGTTGAATTACTTGAAAGAGAGGACAAGCCCTGACCACTCGAGTATTACTACACGACTCAACTCAAGTGTACATATATATTCTTTATTCCAACAAAAGTGCAAGTAAAAACCACATGTTGCAAGACATTCAGCAAATCTCGAAACCAACAGTGAAACTGGCTTGGTAGTAGTTAATTTGAAATCATCTATTTCAGAAACTTATATTACAAAGGATTATAAGAATTTTAATTTGTTGTAGATCAACACAAAACGGGATTTCCATTTTTAAACTTGTATCATACCTAAATTCATTTAAAACCATGGTTGAAACACTTCCTATTTGGTTGTGGAAATCTTCCACAGCTTTTTGTGCTCCGCCTACAGCTCGTTTGAAAGGTGGACGTGGAGGAATGTATTCACTAACAAGTTTAGCGAGTTGTTCAGGTTCACGTCTTGGAACAAGAGGTTGATGTAATATAAACTCCAGGTAGACAAAAGTACGAGCTTCCAAATACATTTCACCTTCTATGTTCTGAAAGTAAAATTTATCAATTTTGTATTGTTCACAGCCACATATAGTGCCACAAGTAGTGCAATACATACATGATGAATACCATCTCCTTCCGAACCAGTGTCTGTAGGCCTCATAACTGCTGAGCTTTTTTTCGATGGAGTGTCCTTAGCGACTGAAGCTGTTCCTTTCCCACCTTTCTGTACTGGAGAAGAACCAGTCATTCTGCTGATGCTACTATTAACTCTAATGACATCATTTGCAATGGCTTGTTTCCTTTTCGTCTAAATGGAAAGTTAACATTTTGAGAGTGTTGATGCTGTTTTAGTACAAAACAGAGCTGTGAAATCGGAGTAGAAGTTTGGCCTGTATTTATTGGTTGGGTAGGATTTTTGAACTCTACAAAGTCAGAAGCGAATCAAATTATGAAATGCCCAAAGTCAGGAGTCAGAATTTCAGTCTTCAAATGAAGATAATCAAATTCAAATCTTTCTACTGAAAACTTGAGAAAAAACTTACATACATGGCTTACATACATGCCAATGTTTTCATTATCAAAATGTAAATTACAGCTAGAGTTGGAGTCGGAATTCCTATCAATCTATAGTCTGGAGTTGGATCCACTTGCCAAATAACATATTGTGAATATTGATATGAAAATGCTTAATACCACTGATTTCCTCACATGAGTTTGCAAATTAAAATATCTCGAATATCCAACTAAAGAATCAGATATATATCAATTATACAAAATCTAATGACAAATAAAAAAATAACACCATACTTTATCAGCTAAATCATGATCATTGAAAGGTTGAACAAGAAATGCACCAGCAACTTTTTTAACACCAGGATATAAGAGTGGTCCAAGATCAACATAACAAACACCATGAAATGATATTTGATGATCTTCTTCAACACTTCCACCCTTGTCTTTTTTTCCACCACCTGATTGTCAGAAAATTATTAAAAATTGTTACTTGAATTTATGGGTTATAAGAATAACATAGTCGAGGAATAGTATGATGTGAAATTATAATATTTATTCTGAAGACAAAATTTTTTTTTTATCTGAATGAAAAAACAAGCCTAGAATAAGTCACCAATCCAAAATTTGCAAGAAGTCAATTGTTTTATAAGCATTTAATGTAAACTATCGTAAGGGCAGCAACTGAAAAATGATCACAGGAGCTAACCCCACAATGGCGTGAGGTTGATCAACCCTCTTGTACATTATATAGACCCACATTCGATTCAGACTTGCAAACCGTGCTACAAGATATGATTGTACCCATGTTCCTTATACTCAAAGCGATAAGTGATAAAGAATAAAAAATATATTATTCATTAACAATTTCTCTTACCTGCTGCTTTTGGTTGTGCTGGAGGTGGCATTCGCATAATTTCTACCGGCCATAATCTGGTTTCAGCAATCTTGTTTTGGAAACTGTAACAGAACAAATAAAATTAGGTTAACACCTAATAATTGTATTCCATAGAATTCATGATTATCTCGAAAAAAAGAAAGACAAGAAGGCTGAGCAAAGGGTGCTTCAGAATTATGTGTACCAATATGGCGAAACCTAATTTTGTTGGACTACTTTGCACCAAGTTGTGTTAAGGGACTGAATGGGCAAGCATTCACTTGGTTAACACAGAAAGTCCCAGACTCCTGAGTCTTAATAGAACTAAAATAAGGAAAATCTGAATAAAATTATGGCCTAACCCTAACCTGGTACACATACTACAGAGTATCGAGTAAACATATGCTAGAGAGCAACAATTGGTAAGAATATGTTAAAAACTTGATAAAAAATTATCGAAAAACAATGGCAAAATTATTCCCAACCCAGAGGTTTCCGTGGTAAAGATTTTTTAAGGTCCAAGAAAATATTTCATCAAATTTGTAATGACAAAACACCACCTCTATAACTACAAGCTCAAATTCAACGGTTCAGTCAAATTTCAAATAGTTACCTCCAAATAGGAATTATACACTTACACAGCTCTTGCATTAGGTTCAAGATAATATCGTCTTTCAGTATCCCAGGTTACCCTGTTCTTCTCATTTTCACAATCTCTTCGAAAGTCAAGAGCATCCTTCTGTTTTAAATCTCCTTTCTCCTCATCGGGAGACAGTCTTTCCAATACACTAAAGTAAAGGTTAAAACTTGCATATATATTTTGCACATATAAATAGGATAAACGGGGGCACGGTGCCCGCGTAGTTAAAGTGTTAAACTTAAATAAGTTAAGTCTGTGTAATATTTTCTTATTGAATTTAGTATTCATACTTCTAGGTGAAAGCATATTAACAAAAATAGCGGAGAGAAGTTTGTAATAAAAATTAAATTTTATTTCTGTTATTGAGAGCTTTTCCATGATGTGGTTTTTATCTTCATGATTTATCTGCTCCACAAAGTCACAGATTTTCAACACTGAGGACAACATTATTCACTTTTAAGCAAAATGCACAGAAACTGTTGAAAATTTGTAAATCGAACCTGCTTGGTATATACTGAGCAGCACTTGTAACATTGGGTAAATTAAACCATTTCAAAGGCCGATTAGACATCTCTTTTTCAGCACCAGGTTTTAAACTTCCATTTGTAAATATCAATGGTATTTCTTTCTATAAAACAATAAATTTAAAACCAAATTATTCATGAAGTCGGTATGCTAGTAAAAAAACAATCTGGATACAGCAAAATTATGATACATCGATTTTCCTTTCTCATGAAGTTAGAAGTTGAAAACTCAATAACTATACTTAGTCCCCATAGGACTAAGTATACTTATTGAGTTTTCAACTTCTAACTTCATGAGAAAGGAAAACCGATGAATATTTTTTTTGCTTTTTCAAAGATCTACATACTAATCCCAGAGCAAATTTTGCTATTCTTATTCTTATTTTAATTTTCTACTATCTCATTCAGGCAACCTTGTGATAGTTACCACATAAATTTATATTGAAGAAGTTAATGAACAATAAAGAACCCCTTGAGGTACTTCATTTACCATCCTACAACACTTCAAAGAAAAATAGCTAGAACTTTATCGAAGGTATTACTCGTATTCTAAATTAGTTACAGCGTAAGTCTGATTTATTGCAAAAAAGTAACACTATAAATGGAACTACTTTAGGAACGCTCGTCCCTCTCCAATGTATAGTTTGTAAACAACAATAACGTTACTAACCTCAGCTGCAGTGGGAATCGGCATTCCAATTGCATAATTGTATTGTGCTCCTAGCAAAGACCAGGAGTCAGGTAAAGAATATGCAGATCCTACTCTCACTGTCAACAAATTGCTCTGAGTGAGATTGCTGGACTCAAGTAATTGCTCATTTACAGATATAACAACATCAATTTCAGCCTAAAATAAGAAAAACAAAACCTTAACACCTGCAAAATTCACCATCACATTAACAATTTTACTAAAATGGATAAATTCTAGTTAATTTGACATTAAGTAGGCTATAAATGGAACAGGGAAAAAACAAAGAGCGGATACCTTCGGGATATCAGGAGGTAAATTTTCCATTGGTGAACCAACAACAGGATGAAGTTGTAACGTACTTTCCACCCTCAGTTCCCCATAAAGTAGAGGAAGTAAATCAATTGTACATTGGCCAATAACGGATGTCTTTTCATCTTTCTGCTTTTTTTCTTTTGGTAAAACTTCATTTACAGTAACTAAAAAACATTTGTTTTATACTCATAGTATGCCATGCAAAAATCTTGTTCATACACATTTTTAAAGTTTAATGGTATAAAAACAATATATTTTCAGAATTATAAATCTTCGAAAAAAATTCATCAAGAGTAATAGCACTTACTTATGACTGGCTTATAAGCAACATCGTCAAAGGTGTGTCCAACTTCTGTGAATGTGCATTCAAAACTTGCTGAAAAATTATATTCCGCTTCTGTTTCAGGTGTTGAGTCCACCTGACAATATGACAAAAAAGTGCTTTAATATTAATATAATAAATAACTGACAGTAAAATCACAAACACTCACTTATAAGTGAAGGTAACACATTATACACACATTATAGATATGAAAATTGACCTACACCAAAAACTGTAAACTGTACAAATACTGAAATAACATATTGCATAAATAATAAACACTATAGCTGAGAGTATTCTTTATTACCTTAGAAGAATCTCCAAGTGACTTATTGTCAAAGTCAGCATGAACATACGAAGTTATCGAATCTCCCTTTACACCACGCAGCTGGCGACACCGCAGAATATTAATGCGAATTGTCTCGCTAGTCCTGACATCTTCGCCTTCTTCTGCCATATTTTCAGTTGCCTACTTTGAAAATTGTATTTTTTTTTTACCCAAAATCGCTACAAGATTTCTGAATACAGGAATACAAAAGATATCAGGGAATACTCTAATTTAGAAACTTACTGATATTTACAAGGCGATAGAAAATAAAATGAGACAGCAAGCACTGCATTAAGCTTCTTTTCTGATTTTCTATGCTGTGTAAGTTACAACTAAACTTGCAGACACAAGTCAGATGGTCTACGGCACTCATTTACTGAACCGAACAAATTTGGAAGGAAAATTGTACTCTAGAACTCGACTGAAGTAGGGAACATTATGAGCGAATTCATTGAATAGTGATTGGATTCCGAAAATGCAAGCCTTAACTCACGCAACACAGTTATATTTGTGGTATTCCAGCATCCCAGGCCACATAACACGAACGGTGCCAGGCCGGCAGCGTTTGTTGTTACCCATGACAACACCTGTGGGTACGGAAAATCGATCCTCGGGAAAAGCTGGCAAAGTTTTCTTAGTACCTTATTTGTAATCATTCACGCCTCATTTCAAATCTCTACTGTTAGAAAAATATTGTAGTGAATATTAAATACGTTTTAAGAAGGACAAAAGCAAATAGATTTTGCTGTACTGTATTGGTACTTAAAATATACTGATCACAAAATTTCGACTCATTTTTTTTCATCCGGATACTGGTTGTCATTTAATAAAAATACAATTATGTTATGTAACTTTTATAATCTATGACACTGACCACTATGTAGTCAACAAGTAGGTCGCATAGATAGGAATGGGATACTGCCGGCCCTGCCTGTGTCGATACCAAATGAATGTGTACTTTTTACATCTTCATAATATTATACAAATATGCGACTAATGCACCATCGACTGGCTGAAACTGCCTATCTAGTAATTTTCAAAACGAATATTCTAATTTTACAATATTGTGTGAAAAAAAACAGGGAATAAACATAATTAGGCTATAACCAACGACTAACATACCGGCTATAACACAGAATTACGAATTAAATACCGATTGAGAAGAGAACTGAATCAGTTCAACGGTGCGGCTGAATTGAAGTTCTCAAAAAAATTGTCTCGTAGGTAAACCGGTTGGTCTGGTTGGTGAAATAAACATGTCGATGGAAAAGTATTTCGCTAATCATATTTCGCCAGGTCAAGTCCTTGGCGATGGTGAGACAAGCCTAAACAACTTTGGACAATTCGTAAAGGTTTCGCTTCGATATTAAAAATGGAACTGCGCCAGGATTAGAATAACGATCGATTTGCAAGACTATGATTTTTCGAGTTCATTCGAAAATCCAAAGCAAGTTCTTTTTTTGAAGATTTAGTTCCGAACGCCGTTGTTTATTAGATGTCACATTGAGACAAGAATAAAGGGTTGTGTCGTCAGTATAGGATAGATAAGATAAGTTTATTTCGCCTCCATAATCAGCATAGAGATGTACCGATGTATCGGCAAAATTTTCGGTATCGGTGTACCAGTTTATTGGTAGACAGTGCTTGATTAATTATTAAGCAAAATAAGCACTTGCTTAGGGAACCAAGAAAAATGGGGCACTACAGAAATTTCCATAGACAACCTTCAATTGAATACCATGGAATGCATTTAGAATAGACTGGAAAAGTGATTGACTATAGCCTACTTCACATTGATTAGCTTATATTCCATCAGGATCCGGGGAAATATGTCGCGTGGCCTCAGCTTAGTATTAGAATGAATAGAAAGGTACATCACACGCACAATTTACTGCGTTCCATTTTCAGTGCCTGTGGTAGCATGTTTTACTTGTCAAGGAGAAAGAAAGAAAAATGGAGCCGACAGAACAAGCAAGCGAAAAACAAACTGCCACACCCCGCAGACAGGGCGGTCAGACTCAGATCGAGCAGTAATAATAATAACTGAGAACCATCCGCCCGCTAACAGCTGATCAAATTTAATTGTTATGTCATACAGAAGTCTGCGTCCATTGGCCAAATTCGTAGCACATATTTCGTGTAGTGAAAAGCGTCTTTTTCGTAAAACGTGCAACTTTTGGAAATGTAAACAAAGTAATATATGTTACTAAATTTCTAAGGAACATTTTAGAATTATTTCCAGGTAGTTCCCTTATGTGCGCTACGAAACTCATTTTCTAGGCGTTTTTCAGGGCCTCGTCTCACGGCCTATTTTGCACGCAATGATTTTAGCAAACCTTCTCACCAATGGGCATTCGCACCCACAAACATGTTCGCTCGTGAATAACTGTGTTTCAGACAAACTTCAATTACTGAGTATAATTATATATTGGAAATGAGGACAGATAACAAATGGTAAGCATTCTAGATTCTTGGTTGGGAACGCTACGTTATTACAGTCATCGCGACTTACTCACGCGCGTTATAATCCCATCCCACTTTTTTATTTTCTTTCAACAATATTAATGCAAACGTTGTCAAATTTGCGGTGGCGTTTGGGTAATCGACGATGGCAATGAAATCTGTTCATAGATAAATGAATTCATCGCAGCGTTATTATTGGACACGTAGTGGACATAGCGATCGTTTCAATAGTATGTTGTTGTTGGACACGTAGTGGACATAGCGATCGTTTCAATATTATGTTGTTGTTGTTGTTCTTAGTATCCTTGTTCTTTGACACGTTTTGAAGAAATCGCTTTTCTCTTCGAATACTGGACCAATTGCTTTGAAATTTTCAGTGGTTGAAGATAAAATTTTTCTCCAGGAGGCTATTACTTTTTTTCGCTATGACGTCATCAAAATAATTCCCACTGGGTGGCGCTACGTGTCCATATATTTGAGCATGGCTCTCTTGTTATTATATTAGATCAGCGTTTCCCAAACTGTGCACCGTGGAACGCTAGTGTTCCGCGAGCGTCTTCCGAGTGTTCCATGAATAAAAAAATAAAAAATACGTCTAGATTGGTCGCCATGTCAATCTCGGCATCGTGAAGTTGTCGCCCAACTGACGGCCGTTCTATATCGCGTCAACGTCGGCCTAACGAAGACTAACTTTTTGCGGGTAGAGGCATTTTCGTTAACCGTCGGCCTAGCTTTTTTTATTGTCAAGTTCATTATCAAGTTTACAGCTTTTGGTTTTGCTAATAGGCAAACCTGTAGGCCTAAAGCAGGGTCACCAACCTTTATGAACCAAAGGGATCTCTTCTGAAAACCAATTTGATATTAATGGTATTTAGCCATGGAGACACTGATAATGTTAATTATTCATGCAATTATCAACAGCAGTTGTGCTATCAAATGTTATGTTTTACAAACACATTTAACAAATCATGAATATCATATTTTCAACCGGGGTCAAATCTGGTGTATTCCCCGTCAACACGTGAGAAACCAGTGTGTTGTACTCTGGTTTGCAACTTAACACCAAAATTCTGAGTGAGTCTTGCAGATGTTCATCGGTGAGGTGTGTTCGGTATTTGTTCTTGATGAAGTTCATATAATAAAAAAATTGATTCACAAAGAGAGGTTGAACCAACGACTAACAGATCGGTTGAACCAAACAAGATTGCGACCATCGAAGATGCCTGTCATACACCACGGTATTTTCTGTGTCAACTAGCACCCTAAATGTGACAGGATATGGCTTTGAGGTGGAGGTCATTTAGCAGTTTTACAATTTTAAGCTCCATCTGTCCAACAATAAAGCTGAACGTTGCTCAACAATGCTTGACATGTCCAAGTTCCATTAAAATAGGTTAGAAATGAATGACACGGCATGGCTTCAGCTGAACCAGTGTGTGTGTGTGTGTGTGATGTCATAATTGGAATGACCCGCAACATTACCGTTGTCACATATAGAAAAGGTTGACCGTTACAATTCTCAATATATTGTCATTTCCATTTATCATATAAGGTTTAAACAAGAATAAAATTAATAGATGTAGCTTACTGATAAGCGCCTTTATTTGAGTTATTTTAAAACAGACCTGCGGGTGACGGGTCCTCGCGGGCAACGGGTTGGTGATCCCTGGCCTAAAGAATAATTGCAAAAGATCAACTCTTTTTCCTCCATCTCTGCCTGGTTTTACTTTGAAATGCTGAAAAGATTACTCATGTTCGCTAAACTCGATTCAGCAGATAAATAACAAGAGAGCTGTGCTCAAATATATGGACACGTTAACCAGAGCGAAGCAGTATTTACCTTTGACACCACCGGTACCCACAAAAAATTCCGAGTTTCGCGTAGAAATAATTTACAGAATCAAACCGGACAGCCAGTGTTCTCATGGATAAAATAATACAGCGAAATTTTAGACGAAATATCAGTTTTTGTCGGAAATTTAGAAATAAATATAAGTAATAGCCTTCTGGAGAACATTTTTAACCACTGAAAATTTCAAAGCAATTGGTCCAGTATTCGAAGAGAAACGCGATTTTTTAAAAATGATGGAGACAAATAACAATAACAACAAAATTGTGAAACGATCGTTATGTCCACTAAACCATAGGTTCTCAAAGTGCTCCGTACGGAGCCCCAGGGCTCCGCGAGAGAAACCTAGGGGCTCCGTGAGCTATCCGATTACTTTTTAAAATAATGACTAGTTTTGTAACTGTTCAAAGAAACAATAACAGCTTTGATAAAATTTGACAACATTATAGCCTCGAAATATGGCAAAGAGGCGGAATCGAAAAATGACAATATTTATAAGCTGGAGCGCAGCCAGGATTCTCAAGAGGTGGGGATTTGAATCGGAAATTTCCGCGCAACATTCTTTGCGATTATAAAAAACGGATAACGAGATTTCTGTTGCGTAAAATATTCAATGTATGGCCGATGCGAGCATTTAAAGTGTCTCGTCGTAATATTCAATTGTACTCATAGTTACTTAAGTTTCATTCGAGATTACTATTAGGATTACTAAAATGAAGGAATACTATTCTAAAATAACATAAAATACGTTGATAAACTGCCACCTATGAATAAATTGGAGTCGTATTTTTGCGATCTTGGAATTTGTCAAACTTGATTTGTTCTTTTGCACTCGAGATTATTATTAAGCAAGATATCGCCGTTAAAAAAATCACAAGATC